ATCTGCAGGTTAAACCAATTAGTTTTGACGTAACTCTTACCATAAAATGTAACAAGAGATGAACCGTTATTATAAGAATGCCTTTAAACAGCAAGGATGTCCCCAACATACATACACTGTCACTACCATTTCACAATTATTATGTACTCTCAATATGAATGTAATAGATTAATGGATTTTATATTCTTGAACATTTCAGTTGGACGTCTAATGCAATTATTATGCTGATGCTTGCAAATTTCTTCTGTTTGTCTGTTCCATAAGCTTAATGTTGTCTAGTGATACGTTTGTATGAATTATCTGCGTTATTAATTCAATTAGGAGTTTAATTGTTGTGCGAGTCCCGTTTTATCTCTGGATAATTCCTTCATGGATGTTGTTGAACTTGCAAGCTTGCAAAAAAGTTTTAACTTTGTTTGGATCTGCTGCTTTAAGCATACTTGATAATAGATTTGTTATAGAGAGCAATTTTCTTGAAGAGTTACTAAAATTTGGGAGAAGATCACTAGTTCACATTACACTGCCTTTCAACTTGCGCTAAATTTCAATCTGGTCAAAAAATTTTGAAGGCTATTGATTCATAAATTATGCATTGGGTGTGCAATATAGATCAATTGAGACGTTTTGCGCTTTTATTAATTTATCAAGTGTAATTTAAATATTGTTTCTATAACGAAGGAAATGTTAAGTATAATTGATCCGTTCATCTGCGAGGGCTTCAATTTTTTGGGACAATGTTTTTTTTCTTTTGTGACATTGGCCAGTCGCTTATTGTGTGCTTAGAAGATCTTCCTGGAAGTACATTTTGCTGTGATGTGCTGCCTGGTGTTGTTAATGCCATCAATTTCTTCATAATATTGTGAAATCTGTATATTTCTTAAGTTCCACAGCATTTTCTCTTCATTGCGATTTCTAATTTAAAAAATGTGTGCACACTACTAAGACTGGCGTAATTTGACAAAGCATTCCCGACAAGAAAAGCTCCCGCTGCCGTCAATGCTGAAAGCATTTCAGTGATCAAACTCACGCCAATGTCACTACCTTTTCCATTGCATTTCTGCCACCGGCCTTCAAAAGAAACGTACTGTTTCTTGCTGTTGATTCACGCGTTCACACACAAGACAATGCCGGCATACCAGTAAAGTTGCAGTTTGGTAACTGGCTAGTCCTTAAAATTGGGTGACGCAATTTAGATTTCATTATTTTGGAATTTCTGACCATATGTTTGGTGCTCATTGTAATAGTACTATTCAGTACCGTTTTGATTCCCAGTTTGAATATTAGAACATTTATCGAAGGATAGTTTATCCCTGTGTTACTTGATAGGTAGTATCATAATTTTCTGAAAAGTTCAATTGCAGTTGACACGTGCCAATGGGAGACTTAGTCAATGTAATAGAAGCCATTGTAGGCCCTTTCTTACTTATAGTTTTGCTGCATTCAAATTAATATTATTTCATTGACCTTTTTTGAGAAAAATTGAGCAACCATTTTAGGTACCAGTACTCACAATTGTAGATTTAATTTTAACAAGTCACAGGACAAACGAAAAGCTTTCTGCTCTGATATAAAGCTCAATGTTATCAAACTAATTAAAAAATGATGAAATATTCAGAATGCTGTCTTCAACAACTGACCTGTCACATTTTCACTTTTCACGGTCAATTGCCTTAAATCCTTTATTGAAGTATCACTCTTGTTTGTGCACAGATAAGTTTGTTGATGATATAAACATGATGCATTGTAAAATATCTTGTGTCAGCTTATATATAGACTGGAAAAAAGCTCACTGATAATAAATAGCATCCATAGATTTCTGAGACGACCAATTCTTGGTAACCTTTGTACTGCTATACCTCGCTCACGCACTCGCTTTGTGCTTGGTCGTAAAGTTTAAATTAACATCAATGCTACTTTAAATAAGTTGCCACGAGCACTTGCCAACTAGATTCCCTTTAATGTTATTTTGGTTAGATGCTTTGCAAGAAGTTAAAAACTAATGAATTCTTGCTCTATAACTTTTTATTAATGTTGATAATATTTTTGGTTATGCAAAGATTAGTGACGTGAGGTAGGTATTACTGTACTTTTATTTTCTATTTGAATCTATACTCCAATTGCGATTATTGACAAGTTCAAATGTATAAGAATAGTGGAAATTTTGTGTGGCATTTACTTGCCATTTGTAGGCATTGCTGAAGTTCTTACTAATTATTCTAATGGATGAGAATTATGTCTTGTATTGCTTGCAACTCTATACTGTTAGAAAAATGACCGTTAACGGTATTACCGGCGTTTCAGTGGCCGGTCGGCACGTGAAAAGAAACACCGTTTTTATTCCAATTTAACACCAGAAATCCGTAAGACATCTGATAAAAACGGCGAAACGGTTTATTTTCACGGGGTGACTGGCCACTAGGATGCCGGTGGGACCATTTTTTCACCGTTTCTTCTAACAGTGTATGGTAGTTGGTCTTCTGGAACAAGTACCTGTTTTTGTACTCAGATCTGTATTTTGATGTGCTAAGGAGTCCTTATTCTGATAGTTCAACAGTCATGGTGCTTATTCTACAGTCAAGACGCTTATCTCGATTATGCTGGATAATGAATCATAAAAACCTTAGCATTAGTCTAACAGGTTCTGAACGAGCTCTCCACCATGGCTGCTTCACTACCTGTATATTGACTATGTGCAAGCAAGAACTAATGTATTTTTCTCACACAGCCTCAAGTTTTGTATCATGCTGCAGTATGTATACTTCTGTGGTCTGGTTATAAGATTTTCTTTTAACTGTAACATTGATTTTCTTGCATATCATTTTGCCCATAAGAGTATGTTAAATGTATTTACACTACTATATGTTATGCTTAGAATAATCTGTTTTGATCATCTAGGTTTGAATCGTCTCAATCGAGTCTCAATGACTATGACTAAAAAACATTACCATTGGGTCGTAATTATTTCCGTATGAGCCTTCCTGCCCATGCTGTACTGAATGATTGCACATTTTTTATTGCACATCTAGCATTTCTTTCCCCACAAAGGACAGCTGTGTGTAGCTTGGTCTTATTTCTTATTGAATTTCTACCTAATGATCCAACGCGGTTTGCTGCAAACCAGGCTATCATGAAGCGTCCGAGTTTCTATTTTAGATAAAAGCATTAGTTTTCAATTCAGTTGTTAATAAGTGAAAAAGGACTGAACTTGTGTTGTTATGGCTCCATCTTGTTCTTTGGTCACAGCACTATTGACTCGAGAGTTGCTGTTATTGTCACAGGAGTAATACAGGTTTACCCTGGTCTTCTTTGCAATTGTAGCTCCTAAAGAATATTAGAAATGACATCCGGGACTTTAGGCATTATGTTCATTGGTTATTTTGTGAAAGTTCCTTCACATCTCCAGGAAATTTTTCTGGAGATTGAGTATCCCTAATAACATTTTCCAATGATGCAAGTTTTGGCAATGCTTTCTCACCTTTTGAACATTTTATGCAAAAAGTTGGAATCAAATAGAGGTTTTCTTGTCATATTTGGTTGCTTTTTTATAATTAATAGAATGGGGTGTTTGCAAAACAAAAGCAATTTATTCTATGCCATCAATGACAATTTCTCAATTGTTATGTTCCGATATAGGCACTATTATGTTACCATGCCGAAATAATTCATTAATTATTCAGACTTGCGCATACATTTCATGAGTAGTTCAATGCACTGGTCTAAGCACTGATCAATCTAGCCTTGACTATTCCCGTGAAACCTGTATATATGTCAACCTAGTGTGATCAATGGCCCAATTTTTTTATTTTTTTAACTGCAAAAATTTTCTGTGCTCGGTGGTGTGGGTTAGATGACATTTTGTTGAATAAACTTTTTGCAAAATTTCTGCTGTGTGTTATACATGCAGTTTAGTATATATACCTCTTGATAATTTCAGTTGTGATTGGCACAATGACTTACTAATTATTTTATGGTTATGTAAGCAATATCAAGTTAATAGGCCTAATTCCAATTCAACACGATATTCCAATTTAACATGATATTCTGATTCAATCTATTTGTAAGATATTATATATAATTTTCCTGATTTTCCAACTTGAAGTTGGAGTCAACAGTCATGGATTCTTGCACATTTTCTCAGGATTATAATGAATTAGTTTTTATTCAGTATTGATTTGTTAATACCTTTATCTAGAATATTATTAGATATCGGATTTATTGCAAAGAAACACATGTACTGCGGGTATGTTAGCAATTTCTATAAAACCATCACTAATGTAGGAAGTTTTTTTTTCCATGCCATACGTATCGATTATAATTACAGATTTTCTCATATAAATGAATCTCTGATTTGATGCTTAAAACAACACAGCAAAAAAATTGTGATATGGTACATACTGATGGAGGGAGTAAGTTCCAGTATATCTCTATTTCGTACACCATATGATTTTGTTGACATCTATTGTGATCAAATTATCATCTTGGATCATACATTGATGTTTGAACTTAATGCGTGTAGAACTTTATGTTGCAAGATGATTCTATGTTGCGTAGGTAGTCTTGCGCCAATGATATCCTGGAGATAGAATATACTCATTGCTTTGATTAGTTGATTTCCTTGTTCATATTTGTAAATGTACCTATACTTGGGCAAGCGCTGTCTTGAGAATAAGCGTAAATGTATCTATACTTGGGCAAGTGATGTCTTGAGAATAAGCTACCATGAAATAACTTCAATTGTAAGGCTAATTTGCAAGCGTGTTCTGCAAGAATCCATGACTGTATTATGTGTATTATTTCGTTTTAGTTTTGTAATAAAGAAAGCTCGTGTACTTGAACTCGGACTATGGGAAGTCAGTTATTGCATCTTGAACTGTAGAAATGTTCAGTGGTCCTGTATGTTATATGATGGATAATGCTGTACCAATCCTATCATATTAACGGTATACCGAGACGACTAATGACTTTTATGATGATTGTGTGTGTCTTTTATCACTCTGTAGGAAGATTTTGCTGAAGGTGACTTGTATGACGCCGTTTTGACGAGCGGCAACAGTGACCGACCAGCAGAAAAACGAGGTGCTAGCGGCTCACCGAGTTCAACTCCAAAAGCATCCGAGTCTCGCAATGGATCGCTTGGACCTTCAGGCCCTAAGAGAGGCAGTGGCAGTCAGTCCTCAAAAGGACGGCCATCCTCATCTGAAGAGCGTCCAACTTATCAATCAAGCCGGGGTGATGCGGGCAGACGCTTCCAGCTCTATGTTGGCAACCTGTCATGGGTGAGTTTGTCTTCTTGGCGGTTACATTTCACATATTTCTTACTCAAGGTTTTCAGTTCATTCAGTTTTACTCAAGGTGTCTATACTCTATGTTGTATGGTGTGGATGAATTTAAAGGAATAAGCATTTTTATTTGTTACATTCAAATCATCCAAGAAATATTAAGCAATAAGAGGCAGTTACAGCCAAATATCGGAGAGTTGCGGCTTGTGCTCATTTAGTAAATTCTTTTTACAGCCCAAATTTAAGTAATAATTAGATAAATTTATTTCAGTGGACAACTGACGAGGACGTGGCCAGTGCCATCAAATCACTGGGTGTGAATGACCTCGTCGAGATCAAGTTCTTTGAGAACCGCAGCAATGGTCAGAGCAAAGGGTTTTGTGGCGTCACTGTTGGCTCCGAGACCAGCAGCCGCATCCTCATGGATAAGCTCGGCCGCAAGGAGCTCAATGGCATGTTGCCCATGGTTGCTTATCCCACCAAGCAAGCCCTTGCTCAGGTCTGTTATTATCTCTACTTTCTTCTTGATTGATCAATTCCACCTTTTTAGTGCATGTTCTCATTTATGGAAAAAATGCACTATTGTGCTCGCCATGTCCATCTGTCTGTCTGTGACCACGTTTTCGTCGATGAGAAAATGCGCTCTCTGTCACTCACTGCAGTGAGTACTGAGTTGTATTTTTTATTCTAGACAATGGCTCTGGCTCAATTTTCAATTTTTTGAACTGGGTTTAGAGTTATTACTTCAAAACTCAAAAATTTTGAATGTTATTTTTAATGCTGAAAGACTATACCTATGTTCAATGTTGTTGCTGAATAAAAATTTCTGATCTTCAAAACTTCTTTTGCAGTTTGAGTCTCAGTGCAAGACTCGCGCAAGTCCCCAGCAGGGGCAGCAGCCGCCCCCACCAGGTCCTCCTCCAAGGATGGGCCCTAATGGCCCACCTGGTCAAGGCCCTAATGGACCTCCTGGCCCAAATGGGCACGGCGGGCCCCGAATGCCTCCGCACATGGGACGTCCCATGCCTCATCCAGGCATGGATGGAAGGCCTAATGGCCCTCCTGGCCCACCTCATGGCCATCCTCATGGACCACATGGACCTCAGGGTCCGCCTCATGGTCCTCCTCACGGTCCACCTCATAACCAGCAACATGGCCCCCCTCATGGGCCACCCCATGGCCCTCCTCAAGGCCACCCACATGGACCACCACAGGGTCATCCGCACGGGCCTCCTCAAGGCCATCCACATGGGCCGCCCCAAGGCCATCCACACGGTCCTCAGGGCCACCAACATGGCCCTCCTCAGGGCCACCCTCATGGGATGCCTCATGGGTCCCCAGGCCCTCATGGCCCTCCTGGCAACCATCATCCTGGCATGGGTGGACCACCACGCAACATGCCGCCCCAGCCCATGCCTGGTAATTTAACCGTCAATGCTGCCTTCTATTAATAATTAGCTAGGGATTTTCTTCAACACTCGAGTGCCATTATTAGCACCTGGGGAACATCGTCTCCATCTGAGCACAGGAAGTAATTGAAACTTTTGCCTGTGGAGTATACAATGAACTATGGTTTCCTACGACTCAGCAAAGAAAGTTTGAGTTCTGAGTCTTGATGTATTTTTAGTTACGTTGAAGGCTTTAATGTTTTACGAGTTGTGCTTTTATACTAATATTTTTACCTGGGACCAAGTAATCTTTAAATATATATAATTGACGATTTGAAATAATCATTGTCAGTTTCTTTTCTACTTGATATATTTTATTTTGCCCACTTCTGTTCAATAGAAACTTTATTATTAGTTTTCTCATGAAAATGCTTCTAAAATAGTAGCCGTTTAAACATCATCAATATGTTTTTATTTGTTTCTGCTGCTTGTGGTTAGTAAATGAATAAGAAAAAATAGTGAAGTGTGAATGGCGTGAAGATTCGGTGATTAAATGCAGCTTCTTCAAATGATTGAAAAAGATCCTGGCTCACATTCTGGGTAATCTGGGTGTAACAGTGGGTGGAGTTTTGGATGCAGCACAGTGGGTGTAGTTCCGGATAATTTGAGTGTAGTATGTACAGTGGAGGGCAGACCAACAACTCCCCTTTAGACTCATTCCCCCCAGGCCAACTTCGAGATGGTCTTCCTCCTCCAGGACACCGAAACCCATTACCTCAGCAACAAGGCGGCCCTCCACGGGGCCCACCTCCCAACATGGGACCTCCCCCACACTCCCATCCCGCCGTGCGTCACCCACCGCCACCCTCGGCGATGGACCAGCGAGGTCCGCCTCCTCGCCCAGGATATGGTATCCAAGGTGAGTTCTCCTTGGGCTCGTTTCCCGACGCAGTAGTTATCATCATTCAAATTACACGTCAGGTACGAACTACGAAGAGCATAGCTTGATAAATTCTCCTGCTCTATCAGCGACCTTGTCTTTTAACATTCATGTCAAAGACTTGAGGTAGGAAAACCCAATTCTTATGTCGAAACGTGTGAAGAGGTAGCGGCATATGGTAACAACCACTGATATTAGAGTAATTAAACTACACCCATTAATTTAATAAGCACTACAACTCGCGAAGTACGACGAGCCGATTGTCATTTTGGATCAAATTCTGTAGTGGGCTTCAGGATGAAAAGAGGCAATACTCCTGGTCTCCTTCCCATATGAGAAGATTTGACTCCTGGTAAGTACTCGACATAGTCATAGAGTACCACAAACTGCTCTAAGATTGCTTGGAAGAAGCTACCACTTCAACGTACTACTAGTCCGCTGATGCATATAAGATGTATATTAAGTATTAATACTTGTATAATTAATAATCGTTGATCACGCGTAATGTTTCTTTCTCGGTACCACATGGAGCTGGTTACGATTATTAAATACACTTTAGTTATATGCAACTATTTGCTTTTTCATAAAGCAATAGCGAGGTCTAAAACAATTACTACGAATCTTATTACACTGGGAAATCAGGCTTAAGAAATGATCGATTAAACTGGGGATAGTAAGATTAAGAAAGTCCATGGCAATATTTGTATGATAACGGGACACGGTTGTGTGCAGCAGTGGTGACAGGCCCCACTGGCGTGCTAGTCTCGCAGCACTTAGCTGAGCTCCCCGCCCTGCATCTCTTTACTGCTGGGGCTGCAGGTACCTTTTGTGTGACACTAGGTTTGATTCAATCATCCTAACTCAAGCTTATAGCTCTATTGTACCGTCTTGACTCACGCTTATAGCTCAATTGTACCGTCTTAACTCACACCTATAGCTCAATTGTACCGTCTTAACTCACACCTATAGCTCAATTGTACCGTCTTGACTCACGCAGTCACGCTTATAGCTCAATTGTACCGTCTTGACTCTGTCTCTTATACACATCTAGATGTGTATAAGAGACAGGTTGCTGACGCCTCTTCAGGTGAGCAGGAACAGGACCGTGAGCAGCAGAGCTGTTGCCGGTGCCTCATCTCGGGAACATCGATCTAATTTGTAGCCATGTAAAAAAACGCAAAAAATATCTACTTTTAAAGGGACCTTCAATAATGGTACAAAAATTGTTATTGTAATCATGTGATGGTTGATAGTCAAATATTGTTAAAAGACGTACTAAGGAAACCATGCTGTGCAGATTTTTATTGAACTGAATTCAGTTCAATCACAATTTGATAATTGCAATTAATGTTTCTACCCTATCTTGATGAAATTCAGGACTTAGCCAATTTCAACCTAATAAATTCTTCTAAGGTCGCAACGAATACGTTCTTTTCTTGTCAATTTGAGAGCATTCCATGAATCTACATTAATTTCTATTTCCTGAAAATAATTTTGAATATAACCGTGGTTGAGAGGCCACGTCTATATCTATGTTGCTCTCGCAGCCCTACTAGTGAACATGAGTGTCGCTTCTCACTGTGAAGCCCAGGGCCTATACTTCCAAAAAAAGTTAAGAGATTGTAAGTTCATCGTCCAATTATTGACTGCCTTTCAAGCAAAGTCCACCAATCATAGACAAGAAAATAGAGCGTAAGTACTTACGTTCACTTAGCGAGTTTTGAAAGTATGGGTCCAGGTGTTTCTATTCACTGTTGTTGCAGGCGAGTACGCGAGCGCCATCGAGACGTTGGTGACGGCCATCTCACTCATACGCCAGTCCAAAGTGGCGCAGGATGACAGGTGCAAGATCCTTGTCAGCTCGCTCCAGGTCAGTGCAATCTCCATATTATTCCGCCATGTGTGATGTTGAAATGCCTTATCGTCTGCTTATGGCTAATGGAAGTGCATATTTGTCCAATTATGATAGAAAACATATGATTGAATGTCATGATAGATTTTGTCCCACCGAGAACCAATTATAAATTGGAGAGGAGAGTAAAATTTTGCTGTGCTGAATGGTTGCGGTGAAAAAAAAAACACTCGATCTAACGGTTAACTTATACAAGGGTCTGAAGAGTAAATGAGATTGCATTAACTGTTGGGGAATGAATATGAGGCTATCGAAATCTTCTCATTTCAATCAAGTAACGACTAACCAAAAGAACAACATATAAAAACTATATTGTTTCTTCTGTGTTTGCTACCGGAATTTTCATTCATAAATCTGCACTAAATTTTAATGTAAAGATCTGAATGAAAAATGAAATATCCGAATAAAATGAGCGGAAAACTCGAGAGAGAATGCTTTCGCTGCCCCTGAATCTAATCGACATCTTGTCCTCAGGGTTACGAAAAGATTTTAAAGTATTGGAATGAATGCTTTTTGTATTAATGAATGCTTCTGAGTATTGTTCATTATAGGCTTGTTTTCGTAGATAGCCATTACCAAAGTTTTATCTGATCGCAGGACACTCTTCGTGGCATCGAGGCTAAGAGTTATGGTGGTGGCAGCAGCAGCAGCAGCAAACGTCGCTCGCGCTCGCCCCGGCGGCGACACCGTTCACGGTCTCCTCGTGAACGCGACTACCGGTCAGTAATGGACATTCATTGCACGAGGCGCTCAACCGTCTCATTAATCATATCTTCTTGGGAAATGCATGTGTTTCCATTAGAACTCAATTCTTCGGTACTATGTATGTGTATAACTGGCTCTAATTCCTCAAAATTCACAAAAATAGCCTACTGATAAAACGAAATTCTTGTCGCATTGATAATTTGTTTCGCTAAGGATGTGTCACTTGGTTTTGGTTAGACTTAGTCTTGATTCAATATTTCCATGGGTTTCTAATCTAACTCCTGGATGGTTATGTTCATGAATATTAAATCGCGTTTTAGCAATTCACTTTCTTGGTTTCGAATATGTCTATTTTCGTCTGTCTCTTTTTTTAATAAGTCTATTTTCGCGCTGCTCACGATATCGACAAAAAAACTCTTGGCTTATTTTCTCTTGTGTTCCGTGCTCCAATGGAGACTTGATGAAATTATCTTTTCTATGGTAGTTCGCGGAGCCACTCGCGCGACCGAGAGTACGAGAGCAGCCGCCACAGAGAGCGCGAGCCCCGAGATCGCGACTACGACAGTCATCGCTCGTACAGCAGGGAGCGCGAGTACGACAGGCACCGGGACAGGGACAGAGACCGCGAACGAGAGCGCGACAGGGACAGAGAGAGGTGAGATCAATCATTCTAACTGTGATGCAATACTTATGGGTTATCGACAAAGGCCGTTGTCGATTGGGCGAGGGATGACTTCTTGAATGTTAGGTACAGGGGAAAATGAGTTAAGAATAAATCCCCTAAATTCGATGCGAAGTAAAAGCACGCAAGGACGACGGTATTGTCGTTCTTGGTGGTTGACAATGTACCTAAATTATTTACTTCTTGGCGTACTTGATAGTTTCAGAGGCTTGGGTGTCAGGACCAAAATTTAAATTTCTTTTGTATACCATTGATGGGTTTTCTTATTTGTGAGATTCAATTAATAATTCTGTTGGGTGAAAAAAATATTTATAAAATATCAATTTAGGCATTAGTAAATACTAAATTGAGTGCAGTATTAAAAGCGTATCTTATGATCACTGCAGGTATTACGAAGAGCGCTACCGTAGCGAGCGCAGTGCTCGCTCCGAGCGGTCTTTGGAAGAACGCCCCGCCTCGAGCCGTGAGCGTCCCCCTCCAGAAGAAGTGCGGCCCAGAGAAGACCCACGCGAGAGGGACCGAGATCGTGAGCGGGAACGAGAGAGGGAGCGCGAGCGGGACAGAGAAAGGGAGAGAGACGTACGCACTCGAGAGGAAAGAGAAGCCTCTTCACATCGCTCTTCACGGCACTGAAAGGGGACGCAATCTGCTTTTCTTGTCAGCTTTTCTATATTTTTGTGTGTCTACGTCCACCTTCATTAGATGACGTTTTACTTGTGTTGTTGTATGAATTATCATTTTTTATAGTAATTTTTTGTAGCTTCCATGTTGGCGTGAATGCGTTGTGATGTCAAAATGTGCTAATAAGAAAATGAGAGCAGCAAAATTAAGTTCCATGGTCTAATCATCAAAAGTGATAATTTTGTACGTATTACAGACATGTCAAGTCGTCCCAAACAAACAAGTTGAATTTAGACTTTACTATTTTCTAGAGATAAATTGTCAACATATTAGGTACAATAGTTACAAAATAGTGCGCACTTATGCCGATTGTAAATTTATTGCCCTGTAATTTTTTTTATTAGCAGAGTGTGAACTTCCATCTTTGCTGTCAATATAACCTAATCTCTCATATTAGAAATTATTATTACATTATTAGAAATTCATCCCTGATTGATACTCCAGGGAAATTCGAGGCTTCAAGACAAATGCCCGACGTGGTTGCGATATTAGAGGTATACTAATGAGAATAACTCGTTCAGCTATTAACTGCAAATCAAGCTATTTTATATGCGAGTATAAGCATAACAATTGTTCTGCACTGAACGGCAACACAACAGTAGTGTATTAAATGACGTATTATAATCTCTGCATTGGTTTTCATTTCATAATTGTCCAATGTCCACATTATTCTTCCTGGACCTTAGGTCATAAAGTAACCTGTTTCTGTAAGGAAAAATCAACCTCACTTGGAGGCTATTGACTATAACTCCACCATTAGCTGGAAGGCATTTTTCAGGTGCTCATCAGTCAGCTCTTCTTAGTAGAAATCTGTCTTGTCAAATAAGCTGTAAGTATTGAATTCGTATATATTTATAGCTTGGTCTGCTGTAGGGCGGTTTCGGAAATGGCCCATAAATTCAGTTGCCTGGCATCCTTTGTGCTTTTAGGATTGTAATTTACCATACGTCGAATACAAATTTCATGAACAAGCTCACATGTACCCATGTTTTCATGTAAAATGGACAGAAGTTTTGAGGTACTGCAGCTAACACATGAACGTAAGTTGTTCGATTAATGAAAAGTGACGAAATTCGCCTTGTATCGTACCGCTGAAAGAGTCCACAGAATGACTCGCGAAATTGTTCATTCAATTACTTCTAGGTCATGTAAATACTCGAATATTTCTAGTAAATCTTTATGGTAATATTTTTTTTATATCCCTGGTCAAATGTTGGAGCTAACATAAAATTAAAGCATATTGACGGTTCTGTGTAGCGGTCAATAGACCAAAGAGAGGGTAGGGAAGGTCGTCTGATGCACGGCTTTGCCCTTCAGAGTCTGTTGTGTTTGTGTTTCAAACGGCACTGTGTCTGAGCTGCAAACCACTGAGATCGTAGTATAAGTCCTTATACATTGGTACGCTTCCTCGGATGTTAAGTCGTGAAACAGCCACTTCACTTCGTGCCAAGTTTCATCTTTTGTTTACTTTTTACCTTACGATTTCCTCTAGTAATTTTGTCTAGCTATTTCATTGAACGAGTAAATGTTGAGGAGTAAATTGAATGAGTAAATGTTGATATGTTATTTCATTGAAATGAGTAAAAGAATGTTGAGGAGTGCGTTCTCAGTATGACGTTGATTCGATGCACTGCAGGGAATTTTGCATTAAAAATTTCCAGTAATTCACACAAAACGATATCGGTGCTTTTGTTATAGTAATTTTTTCATTGATTCAAGTAAAACATTGTGTACCTAATTGACTCGTTCAGATTGATCTCCGCAGTTATATGATGTGTTGTTTTTACGCGTATCAAGTCTATGCTTGCCAGTTGATGGTGCAACTAGGCAGAAAGTGGCATTTATAATGCGGTTCGGTTGGTTTTGAATATAGCTAAGAATGATGACGTACACGAATTTCCTCGGACGGCAATCTGACATGCGAAGAACAATTAACGTTATATCGTACCCTGGCTTTTAACAATAACTCTATGCGAAAAAATATTTCACGTTGATAAAACAACTTCTGAAATGAACATGTATATATTTCAATAAATTCTTCTTTTATTAAAGTTTTGCAAAAATTGTGAGACAAATTGAATGAACAAAAAAAATTCAAATCTAATTGTTCTCTTATTCTCTGTCCATGAACATTCATCGTACGGAGGATGAAAGAACGCGCCAGTAATAATAGATTGCAGTTTTTTTTATTGTTCGTTGTTTTCCAAATTCATGGAAATGCATTTAGCGCTCTTTAATGTTTATATGCATCCGTATGTAATGCATTGAATAGTGAAGTCCACCGAGAACGGAGAACAAGAATACTTTTTGAAATTACTAAGGGAAGCAAACAATTGACAAAGTTTTAAGCAGCCTGCCAATAAGTAAAGCCAAAATATATTAAATCCCTGCAATGTTAGAAGGACATTATATGTTCTCCTCGTAGACTCGAATCAGTTATACTTCGTAAGAATATTATTAAATATGGTGCCTCAATTATTAATTTCGTATAACAAATGAAATATGTACTTTTCGTTGATTCGAAGAAATCCCTGAAATTCGCTGCGAAATAAAAGTATGCATGCAAGAACGGTATTGACTTGGACTTGGAGGCTATTGAATCTCCATTTTAAAAACTTTGATTTGTCGAATAATGGAAAGGTTTGTCGAAATCACTAAAATCTTTGTTGGAACTACAATGAGGTACCGATTTAAGTCTTCTCAAATGTGACCGCGACTGAAAGTCTGAAACGTTTGTTTACAATCTTACGATCCCTGCATTACTCAGGAATCAGGATTACTGGCGAATACTGATCAGTGTGACACTGGAGTTTGAAGGAACTTTGCATTTCACTGTAACCTGTAGTCATACCATTTGACTTATTCTCGGACCACATAGCCTTGTATACAAGATGTTACAGTAATTATCTACTTGATTTGTTTTGAGATAAAGTAGCGTGCACTTCTCAGTCAAATATACCATATATACGCATAATTTGTAATAGTTAATTGACCTGTGGGCTGTAATCACCTCACAAGAATTGGGAATTTACAATGGCATTGGCACAAAAACGTGGTCAGGTGAGTTCTTACTTTGTTTGAAAGTCAATATTACAGTGTTCAAAACTTCAAGGACCAAGGTGAAATATTTGAAGTTTCTATTATTATTGTGAAGATAATAATAAGTAGCTACCTATTTTGTTGGGGCTCCTGGCACTGGCTCCAAAGGTCAAATTCAAAATTAGGCAGAAACCACCCATGAATTGTACATACAAAAAATGCCAGTTAATCTGGCCAATTTCACCTGTTCCTATGGCCTTTTTTTTTTCCAACATTTCAACTGATAATAAGACAAATGCCTAATTTCAGCCAATTATTGTTTAAAATCACCTGTTAAAGTAGTTTTTATTTGTCTGCAATTTTAGAAAACTTCTGTCCCATTGTGGCAAATGACCAGTGACCAGTGTGGAATCCTAGGATTGGAAGATCACTTGGCCCAGTGGTTAAAGCTTAAAGTTCAGAGTAGCCTACCAGGATTGCCGTAGAGAGTCACGGGGTTCGATCCCAGCTCTGTGCGCCAGTTTCTGGTCAAACATAGTGGCAAAGCAGAGAGTTTTTTAGACTCTCCCTCAAGTTCATTTTTGAGTCCTATAAGTAGACCAGTAAAGTATCATGCATAGTGGCAAAGCAGAGAGTTTTTTAGACTCTCCCTCAAGTTCATTTTTGAGTCCTATAAGTAGACCAGTAAAGTATCCTGGATACCAGCATTATCATACTTAAGAAATTGTTTTAAATCTTGAGTAAATGAGAAATTAAAAATGAACTGATTCTAAAAAAGCCCTGGGGCCTGGTTTGCCACTATGTGGTCAAAATCGGCTAGGCGGCCCAGCAGTTAAGCACAGCAGAATTGTAGCAGTGAGTTGCGAGTTTGAGACCGCAAAATGCTGTGAATGTTCTGCAATGTTAAGAATCGGCGACAGGCCTTTGCCCTAATAAACGCTGAAACTGCTATTATTATTATTATATAAAAGCTTGCCTTAGCTACAGCTCTCTGCCAGGTGACTGACTATAAAGGAAAAGGGAGATCAAAAATGGACAAACCATTTCAATTATGTAGTAACTTTGATTTGTTATATAATTGTTTAGTTGTATCTTGTTCAATTGATATTTTTCTATTTTTCTTTTACTTAATGGACTTTTTAGAAAATTTCCAGGCCCTTTGTTTGTAATGATAAAGTTTAAGTCAAGTAGTATTAATTCAAGTTTATATATTAATTAAGTTAACCAGTAGTCCAGTACACATACCATATAAAATTATAATGAAATATGGGCACAAGCACAACCAATCACAGCTGGAAAAGGTATGACATCACAAATTCAGGCATGGAATATATCTACTTGGCAAGCCGCAACTGAATTTTTTGAGCCGTGGTTTTATGTATTTGCAGCCGTGATTCCATTTCTTTGAGCTGTGATTCCATTTTTTCGAGCCATGAATTTAAAATCTTGGCCATTAAAAGCCATTTACAAGGCGTAAATTTATTTACAAAGTTTATGCCCGTGTTATCCCAAATATCTAATTTTACCCTAAAACAGTCAAACAGCAACAATAACATTTGTCTTTACTATAAGCTGAACACACGCTAATGCAGTCCAACTGCTTTGACTTGACCGCAACTATGCGCAATTTTCAATGAAATGTTTAGGTTGACTTGTTTACATTATGATGATTACATCCTGCAGGATATTTTAGTGGGAATGGTAAAGCAATGTGGATTGCAGAAGTTGAAAATTTTATGAAATGACATGTTTGCGATGTGCGAACCACAATTTTTTCAATCATACAAAAAGTTATGACATTTGAGCCATGAGATTTCAATCCTACTGAAATTATATGATATTAGAACCACAATATTTCAGAGAAAATAGGACTTTTCCAGCCCTGATCACAATCCCACCAAGCACCAACCAATCACAGCTGGAAAGGGATTTCATTAACAGATATGTATACAATGCTATGTGTACTGTTTAATTTAGTTCTTCTCTAAAATTTCACACTGGTGCAGAGTTTGATGAATGCATTGTCAATTTTTGCATTTGTTGACCAATAACCTTGCAAAGGCAAATAGCCATGCATGATTTCCCATACATGGGCTGGCCTTTTCCTGTGATGCATTATAACCAAGGTCTGATAAATGTTAACTTTTTAAAACAAGGAATTATATTTATATATTTGTTATATACATATATAACTATTTGTGCAAAATGACACCTGACAGTACCCAAGATGCATCATTTGCAGGCAGTCTTCAAGATTTCAAGATGCTTTGCAGCAGTCTTTAAGAAGCCTTGCAAACATAATTTTTATCAAAATTCTTACAAAATCAACTTTGATGAGTGTGTCTTTAACACCTCAGGTATTACAGTAGGCAATTACTACATTGCAACCAAAATTCCCAAATTGTGGGTTATGCTTTGCAGCCTGATCCAATGAACAGGAAACCTGAAATTTTAAAAACAATGTAGCCATTGGTGTACCTCTTGTTCCACAGTTAGTGTTACCAAATTTTTGCAAAAATCTAAAATGAAATAATTTAAATCCAAATGAATTGGCAAGACCTTCTGAAGGCATAAATTTTACTGCTGATGTGTCACTGCAGATCTTCAGTTATTCACCCACTTTCTGCATACTGGGCAAATCAGCAAATGAGAATTTTTTTTGGAATCAGTTTATTTCTAATTTCCTCATCTACATAACATTTAATCCAATATCTTATTTATTATATTGCTAGTAGTATCCATGATATTTCTGCTTTGCCACTATGTTCTGCCTGATAGTCCAAAATAGTTGGGACTTCTTCAGAGCACAGATACAATTCTAACTCATTACATTCCCACCCCAAAATTGGAACATTGCACAGAAGTTTCCTAAAATCATGGGTTAAAATGATCATTTCACATAAAATTTTTCAAAAACTGTTGGTAAAAATAAATCCCTTATCTTATTTTTCACAGAAGCTTGAGAAGAGAAGAATACATTTTCACTTTGGTCTTATCCCACCCAAGTCCATAGTGGGCAAACAGTGACAATGCAGAATTTTTTAACTCTTCCTTTATCTTCTGTGGAAAACATCTACTCTTTGACCCTTTTCCACACATTTGACCATTTCAGGCCATGACCCTTTTTTTAACCTGCTAATCTCTTCTCTGGGCATGGGAAGCTATTTTTGAACAAATTACTTTGCCAAAATACAAGTTTATTTGTCAAGCTATGCATAGTACATATTATGTCCAAGGGCAGAGAATTGGACAGAAGTGGTCTTTTCCTAATTTTTTTTTTTCACTGAGAAATAAGAAAAAACGACCCATTTTCACATACAAATTCTAAAAATAACCCATGAAACACTTGTTTTTACCAGCAATTTTGTGAAATTTTTGCCAATATTCCAAATTGGTATATTATTATTAAATTTTTCATTTTACCATCAATGCTAATAATGTTGCCGCAGCACGAACTTTGCAGGCCTTCAATAGCATCTATTGAAAGCCAGCTGAGGCACATCTTTCTAGTGCACACAAAACGGCTTTATATTCAAAATATGAAGCAGAAATACTTGCTAAATGGTGTTATACGAGGAATGAGTTGGCAAGATTTTCTGTAGATGTAGATTTTGATGCTGATGTGTTGACAAAGATATTCAAATATTTGCTCGCTCTCTGCCCTCTTGGCCTCAACTGCGCCTTTCCTGCCATATTTGGAGTGATGAGATTCTTGCTAGATGAATTTTCTCCTATTACAGATGATAAATACTTGCACTTTTTGTGTATTTTTTACTAGTTTTTTTCTCAACTGAATATCTTGTAATGGATTGTTTGTTTGAAGTACCTATTTAAAATTAAGATTCAATTGTTTTAATAGCTGCCAGGGTTATGATTTTCCATGATATGCAAGTATATATGCTGCCAAAACTAAAAGAAATTTCATCCAGTTGCCTAATACTCTAATGGCCGTGAAAAATGGTCTTTGGTATCTAATATATAAATTTATATACCAGCATTTTTGATCAAAGAAATAGCAACTGATTTCTTTTTCAGTTACTGACTTGCATTTTGCAATAGGGCTAACATACTTACAGGATTGAAAAATATGGAAGTATAAGTGTTAATTTTAGTGTTGAACCAACTCCTTACAACTAGATGCCCTGATTGTAATTTAAGAGCATAGCTGCTGATGATTAAATATTCATTATGTATTACTGATAGGCAAAAGCAGGATAAAATGGCTTCAAACACTAATCAGGGCATGTATAAACCTTTTATAAAAAATTACAAAGATACAGTACCTATACTGTATTTGATCACTTTTTCAAAAAAGACTCACAAAATTTCTCTCCTGCAGGTTCGACTACCACCGGAAGTCAACCGAATATTGTACATCAGAAATCTCCCCTACAAAATCACGGCTGAAGAGATGTATGACATATTTGGCAAATACGGAGCAATAAGACAAATACGAGTGTGAGTACTTTGTAAACACTCATTTAATTTAACATCATTCAAACTTGAGAAAATTTCATTGATTTCTGATATCAAACAATGTCGTGAAACTTTTTTTTAGAAGATTGAAAAACAAAATATAAAGTCACCAATTTGTGTGCAGAGGCAACACCCAGGAGACGAGAGGGACAGCATTTGTAATTTACGAAGATATTTTTGATGCCAAGAATGCATGTGAGCACCTCTCTGGCTTCAATGTCTGCGGCCGGTATTTGGTGGTCCTCTACTACCAAGTGAGTTGCCTGGTGTGCTGGTAACAAGCCCACGGCCATTATATATGATCCTGCAGGAACTAAGAGTCAAGCCCACGGCCATTATATATGATCCTGCAGGAACTAAGAGTCAAGCCCACGGCCATTACGTATATATGATCCTGCAGGAACTAAGAGTCAAGCCCACGGCCATTACGTACATATGATCCTGCAGAAACTGAGAGTCAAGCCCACGGCCATTATATATGATCCTGCAGGAACTAAGAGTCAAGCAAGGGACAAAATGATGCTATTTAGTTTACTATTGGAAAAAATACGAACGATTCTGATGTGCTCAAACTATTATTGACAGCGGGCACGTTTTTGATGGGCCCATTTAATAGATTTTCTAGTATCTTTGTACATGCTTTTTGTGATAACTCATTCAAAGTTACGGTAATTATTTATTTCACAATAAATGTTGACCAAGAGCTTATACCATTTATGATTAGTCATCATGATTATGGGTTGTCAAAGAAATACTTTTTTATACACAAAATATTCAGCTTTGTTTCATAGCTCTTAAAGTTGATGTAAACGGTTCTGAAATTCATTTGTAAAATATTACGACACGTCACCTAGAACATCAAGATAATTAGAAGCATGATAACTGAATCCTCTAGCCTGATATAAAGAAGAAGCAATACCTTGAGACAGCCAGTCCACGCCCCCCGGCACACGATCGCAGTTTACGAGCGTCACTGCAGCGTCGTCGTCGCTCAGGACCACCTGCGGCAGACAGTCGTCATCACGTCCTGAACTGTTATCCGCGCTTCGAATAAATTAGTTTCAGTAATGCATTTCACCGATGAATCGGAAGATTTTCTCCCTCTGTTCGGGAGAACTTTACAATTTTCACAAGCGAAGACCAGTCATTCTTAACATCAGCTTTGACTTTTGAACATAATCTATGGCAGGCACTGATTCCCACTATTGCAAAGGCACTTATCATACAAATTGTAATGAACTTTCCTGAATATATTTGTTTTCTTCCATACTCCAGTTAGCATACCTCCTCGCATAAAAATAAACAAAATTCACCATCTTCCAGTAAATATTGAGATTGAAAACAGTGTTAGATGGGAAAAAAACGTCGAGCACAATTTCAAGGGACTGCAAAAATTTGATGTATACGAATAAGAAAGTGCATAACCTCATAAATACAATGAAATAGTCCATGGTTATCACACACTATCGTCAACAGACGATCGATTGCTTGAGTCTCAAATTTAAAAGCAAAAGATATGTCATGAAAAAATTTCTCGGAAAAATATGATATATGGTTGGACATAACGACGGGTTGGGTTCCGATTGCGGCAGGTACTCTCATCGTAGTTACTCGTGAAGGATTTCCAAGTTAATTGAGCAAAATTGTAAACAAATAATACCAGCTCTGTAAAGGAAATAATACCGTAATGTTCATCCTATAATTTGTTGTTTACTCGGTAACCTAAAGCTAAAAGGAGGTACAAACAGCTAGCAGGCAACAGGGCCGTCAGTAGCAGAAGTTCACCTCGGTGCGGTCATCGCTGATGTCTCGCGTGGTCCCCTGGAGCCACACCAGCGGAGCGTCGAAACTGATGTCGCCGCGGCTGTAGCGCCACACGTCGTCTGCCAATTGCAAATTCACGTATCAAATACAGCTTAACACGTTGACTTCGAAGCGGTACATAGACGTACTTCGAAATGCATTTATCCAGGACGTAGAGTGGTACATTATTCATAATAGAACAAAAAAATGAAACAATTAGGCAAGATGAAGCAATAGGATAGGAGTCAAGGTTTAAGAGTTATCTGAGGAGTAACGCTCGAGAGCTAAGAACTTTTATATTCAGAAATAACCGTGCGGTTCAGTAGGGCGATGTCCTTTAAAAAACAAGTCAGCAACCGATTGAAACTTATAAAAAATCAACTGGAACGACCCTTGGAAGCGTGATTTGTTGCTGATAGAAGCATCTGATTGATTATACAGTGGGGGAAAATAAATATTCGTACACTTGAAAAATCGTATTTTAATGTATGTAAGTACACAAACTTAACAGGAAAAGTGATTTAAATTATGTATAGACTGTCTCTTATACACATCTAGATGTGTATAAGAGACAGACTACCAAGTGAGTTGCCTGGTGTGCTGGTATTTGGTGGTATTCTACTACCAAATGAGCTGTGTGGTGTGCTGGTATTTGGTGGTCCTCTACTACCAAGTGAGTAACCTTACTGTTCATATTAGACTGTATGTGCATCATGCTGTATACTCTGCATCCTTGAATATCTAAGTTTAACCCACGAACATTACTTTTGATAAATTGTATCCTGACGCTTAAATATAAAAGTTTTTGCTAGTGGATAAACATTTATAATTGATTGTCTTTTACAGGCTAACAAAGCATTCAAAAAGATGGATCTGGTGAAGAAGCAGGAAGAGTTGGACAAAACAAAAGCAAAGTACAACATAAATTTGAACAACTCTGCATAAGTACACATTTTCCTGAGAATAAATTTAGAATAATTTTCATTTTTTACTAACCAATGTTGGAATTAATAATTTCGAATGTATTGGCAGTTTTAAAGTTTAATTATTAACCAAAGCCAAGCAATACATACAATGCCACAGTTTCGAATCGAAAATCATCATCTTGCTACTTGATTGAAGTTTCTCAGATAAGCAACTGGCGACATATTAGTTGGCTTATATCTAACTTATAACTAATTTTGAGCTCCTAACTATGCCACATCTCAAGGAATGTTTTTCAATTATTCTCCAATGCACTGTTTTCATTCAGTATAAATTTGAGTTCAGTCACTTCAGCGGGCCAGGACAGCTTGTGTGCGGGGTTGTCTGTGAGGTCAGACAGCCGCAGCACTGACACGACCGGCGGGCAGCCCTGACCAGCGCTCATCACCAAGCCCACGGCCATTATATATGATCCTGCAGGAACTAAGAGTCAAGCCCACGGCCATTATATATGATCCTGCAGGAACTAAGAGTCAAGCCCACATGTGGCGGTATTTGAAGATTCAAATTAAGAAAAGGTCCCCAACAAACATTGAGAATCTTAAGGTGGTGTGCCAAGATGAATGGTATAAAATACCAGTCAGCATCTGCAAATCATTGGTCGAGACGTATAGAAATAGACTGGTGTCTGTTGAGCTGAATAAAGGGTATTCAACCAAGTATTAAATTAAAATAATGCGGATTAATTGTTTTGTACGAATATTTTTTTCACCCGAAAAGTGAACATGTTGCATTGTTTTTTGTTGCATTGAGATTTAATTTTTTTATAGTATTTTTGAATACTATGCGTCTCTATACATAATTTAAATCACTTTTCCTGTTAAGTTTGTGTACTTACATACATTAAAATACGATTTTTCAAGTGTACGAATATTTATTTCCCCCCACTGTATGTCAACTTGGACGCAATCTACTGCATTAGGAGATGATCACCCTTTCTTATTATTGCTTCTTTTCTCGTATTTAGTATTCACTATCATTGCGTCATTCTAAATTTTCAGAACACTTGAAAATTTGTGTCTTTAATAATAAATCAGGAGAGACGCTAAAATAATTACGTTAAGAAAAATATTCAAAGTGTAAAATTTTACAATTGCCCAAAAGGCAGTGCACTGAGCTACAGTATTCGGAACAGCGGGTCACTATTTATACTATTATTTTTCATCGGCTCACTCACTTTCATGACTCAATGACGCAAAATCAGCCACTCTTAGCTTCCTTGCAGGCGCGTCCTCTGAGTTGATGCTTAGACTCATAACACGAATATTTCTTCAAGTATCAGGCGTCTGAAATGCACGATACAACGCTACAAAATCATGTGTCGTTTATATTGACCTCTTACTCAAATAAAAATTCAAGTTTTCTTTCAGAGTTAAAGTACAGCGCATATAAATTTTTTTTTGGATACCGGAAGAAACTTTCTCAGAGACGAGAGTAAAAAATTGATATTTACCACGACAAAGGCTGTACGTCTCGGTCGATATAAGGTCGCTGTACGTCTCGGTCGAGGCTGTACGTCTCGGTCGACCGAGATCGACGTCTCGGTCGATCTCGGCTGTACGTCTCGGTCGATCATATCCAAGATTTTTTAATAGCAAAGACTTCAAATACAAGATTGTTTATCAGTAAAGACGTCTAAATGACCGGGGCGTCGCAGCTGGTAAGACGGCAGCAAGGCTAACGGACACATCAAGATGGGTCAACAGATACGAGGAAGTGTTACGTGAACAGCAGCTAAACGAAGACGGCAAGGGCGAACAGTAAATTTTAAACGAAGAATGGAAGGATGAAGAGAAACTGAGACGAAGACTGTAAGGGCGAACAGCAAGTTGAACGAAGAAGGGAAGGATGTAGAGAAACTGAGACGAAGAAGGGAAGGATGAAGAGAAACTGAGACGGAGACTGTAAGGGGCGAACAGCAACTTGAACGAAGAAAGGAAGGATGAAGAGAAACTGAGACGAAGAAGGGAAGGATGAAGAGAAACTGAGACGAAGACTGTAAGGGGCGAACAGCAACTTAAACGAAGAAAGGAAGGATGAAGAGAAACTGAGACGAAGAAGGGAAGGATGAATAGCAACTGAAACGAAGGGAAGGATGAACAGCTCATGACACAAAGAAGAGATAGGTTAGGAACAAGGAAATCAGAAAATTCTAAAATTTACACTGCCAACGTAAACCGTCATAATAGAGGTCGCTCACTCAGTTCTTCGGCCCCTTGGACGACTAACGGAGAAGGGAAGTGAAAGGGATCTTAACCACCAACATACCCAAGGACCGTCGTAAGATTCGACGCGCTCCGTGGCGCATCACCTGAACAACGCATATCGTCAAGGTGAAACACTAGTCTTCATCCCCGCCAAAATATTGAATGAAAGTTATGAAGTGCTTACACTAGTAAAAATTTGTCGAGACCACCAATGTGTCCTCCAGCCAATAAGTAATAAATGAAATGATTCAACCAACACACGATGCTATATGTTCAAAAGCTGTGGAAAAGCAGGAAAGCTGGCTCCTGTCCCCCAGTTTAGAACCTGGAAGCCACCACAACACACCTTACATACACAGGCGTGAGCCAGCTTCGGAATTTGATGGAGCTTTTCATAATTAAATAGAATAACTCAAACTTCAGGTTAGAACATTCCTCCAATTTGGAAGAGTAGCTAAGGTCGCACGTATATTACAAGTCTGCCAATTTTCTGAATCATAATTGCACCACATAACTGGAGGTAAGTACAGTATCCGGCAAATAAAAGACTACATCGAATCGTGCAATGGAAATATCATCTACTAAATCCTCGCCATAGAACTTGTCGCAGACAGAAATGAATCATCACAACGTACTCTTCTTCATATAACCAAACCATTCTGCTTTAATATAAATACGGCAGTATATTGAAAAGGCAAATGAAAAAAAAACTCTCTTTGATATAGTTTAATTAAATGAAAGAGACCTAGACAGATACCATTATAACGAGGCAAAACTCAAGCTATGTTGGCAAGATAGTCGGTGACCTCTGCGGGAGAGAGGCGCCGGAAGCCTGCTTTGTTGCACACGCCGATCTCGATGTTGTCTGACGACATCTGGCCCTCGAAACTCTCCTTGAGCGTCAAGATGGCCGTGTGCACCGCGTCGTCAACTTCAAGGTCTTCATTGTACCTGATACAAACGTTCAAATAATTCACTCGTTCTTAAGGGATTCAAATAAAAAATTTGCTCGTTCGTCAGGGATGTTTCGTAATTACTCCTTAATTTCTAGAGATTACTACAAAAGTAATTCTTCAATCGTCTAGTTATGTAATGACACTAGATTTTCATAGTATTTGTCGTGAAGTTCTTTAATGAATGATGATAATTGATCAATATGACATTAGTACTTAAACCTGTTTATTCTTCATGTGCTTTGGTCAAATTCCGCAAAAAATTGTAAAAATCATAAAGATAAATAATTATCCTATTTGTAATAAATAATAGCGAGTCAAAATTGTGCATCAAACTGACAGAGGACAGTTCTATGGAAACGATCCAAAACAAAATAAAAGAGTGAAAAATACTCGTCTAAGATCTCATCTTCTCTCTATATATATATATATATATATATATATATAAATTTCAATACAAGCCTGTTCATCCTAAGACTGTAAATGTCACCTCTTCTCTAGGAAGGTCTTCCCGTTGATGTAGTTCTTGCCCATGGCAGTTGCCTTCCAGGAGAAATAAGCGCCCGATGGATCGCACTGGAACACGTACGGCCTGTCGTTGTCCCAGCCACAGATGAGCAGGGACACACCGAACGGCCGTACGCCACTGCAACAACAATATCATGTGAGACGTCATGAAGTTGCTTCAACTCTAACAATCTAATAACAAGAAAAGGAAACATTCAGGATGTTGCTTTAACCTTTCAAGTAATTACAAGTAATTGGATGGTCTAAGAAATGGCTCCAAACTTTCAACTCTAATAATGAGAAAGTACATATGATATTCAATTTACGATAATGGACGATAATTAGAATAACCAAGTAGGCATACAAACTATCATGGAAGTTTTCACCTAAAATATTTGCATTTTTATGAGATGTTATGGATCATGAATATGGGTAAAAAAATCAAACTGTTTGACTAACATCAATTCTGGTCAGAGAATTTTTTCACAAATTCATGCTGGATAGGAAAATTTAGAAATTTAGGACACCTCTAATGACCATTTTTAAAAAAAATTTTTATTCCACACACACATGGAAAGTAGAGCAAAAGTGGCATTTTATTCCCCAGCACAATAACTGTTACCGGTACCGCGGGACGGCACACAGCAGCAACAATGTCTAGTTTGCATCAGAGGCAGAGCAGTACGTGACCTAAAGATTTAGTTACCCAGACTGAGTGTACTCCTGCATGACGGCAGCAATTCTCTGCACGAGCTGTGTGGTGGGGATGGGTTCCAGGTAATTACGCTCGTACTGCTGAGCAATCTTGCGAGCCTGGCGCACTAGCAGGCGGTAGTCAGGACCCATACCTGATAGGTTATGAAATCAAAATTAATGTCAACTCGACATTATGAAGGATTAGAATTTGGATACACACAATATTCACATTCAATAGTTTATATTATAAAAACCTTTTCAGTTTAACTTTCCAAGACAGTTTAAAATGGCTACATTTTAACAAACCAAACATTAATTAACAGTATTGTTAACCTTAAGAAAAACGTAAAAATTCATTCTTTATTACAATTACCTTGTACAAAATTATAAGGTGCATTAAATAAAACAAAATTCATCAAAAAGTACTAACAAATATGGATGACTTGTGCAATAATTCAAGCTGACAAAAAAATCAACCATAAATATTCCCTTACAATTACCTAACTGCAGAAACAAAAGACCTATGTGATATGGAAATGCTTACCAGCGTACACCATGCCGATATGATTTGTGATGTTCTCTATTTTGACAATGGAATGCTCTTCTATGAGTATACTCTTGTGCTTCTTCTCAGTGGCAAGGACAGCCCCATCCTTGGCCTTGATGGCAACCGCAGGAGCTCCAGCAGCAACAGCAGCCAAGGCATACTCAATCTGCACCAGCTTGCCACTGGGGCTGCAACACAAAAGATAACATTAAAATTATTATTAAATAAATCATAAAAAATCAAATTAAACTATCAAAAATATATATTTTAGATGGTGATAGAGGATTGTTTTGGTTCCTTGCATAACCTTTATGGGACTTCAAAAAAATACTAGTGATTTTCCGAATACTCAAATACCAACACTAATCACATTTTAATGCACAGTATGATTATATAAAGACTATTCCTTTGAAACTGTTGATATTTTTAGATCCAGCAAGTAACTAGCTGGATTGATAATTGCTGAATACTTGGAATACCATCACTAGAATTACAACCAGCTTGGGTCTGCAAGATTTCCACTACATGAGCTATCTAACTGTTAATAAAAGTGCATGATTGATCCAGAAGATTTCAAATTTCAAGGACTCTGACTTTATTTCTAGTACAAAGTTGCAAATGTATGGTCTTGGAAGATGGCAGTTACAAATTTCACTTATTTATAGACGTCAATCACCACTATTTATGATTAAAATTGATAACGGCAAACTGATGTAGAAAGACTAATACTGCTAATTGAGATTAATGCAGGTAACAGATACAGATCAATATCTTGCTAGTTGAGCAATCATTTCCAGAGTGTAAATTAGGGTGAGATATTGTCATATTTTCAAGCTTCCAATCAATCCATCTCTACATTGAATTAGCATCTGTGTTTTGTTGCAGGTCTATCACTAAAGATCAATTAATTGATAGATGACTATCACATAACCAAGTACCAGTATATATGCGCCTGTTTTTATTGGCCTTCATCACATGCATTAATCCTAATGCAAATGAGGTGGATGCTAATTATTTGCCATTGGCCATATCAAATATCAATGGAGAATTGCAATGAATGGAGAAGCATAATGGCAACCCAAGTGAATTACAATTATGCCTGAACACACCTGGGCCTGAGTGCAATGAATTTTGCATCATCGAAACCTCAACCTACGTGGTGCCTAACTTAGCAGTTTATACACTGTCTGTAATGGATGGATTAATTTTAATCAATCTGAAGTTAACTGAAGATTCCAGCTCAAGTTTAACATGGCTTAAACCAAAGTTTAAGGGGGGCATCTACCCTCCAGAAAAACTTCCATATTTACTAACCTGATCGTTCTGAAACTTCACAAATATAATATAATATAATATAAAACCAAAAAACAAGCACATTTTGTTCACATGATTTTTTTGGAAAATTTGTAATAAATGTGAAATTCATAGAAAATGGTAAAAAGGGGGTACTTTAAACACAATCTAAAAAAGGGCTTTGTTACTCAATAGGTACGGTCTTTCGAACAGTATATCTCTCATTGATGTAGCTTCAAAACTCTAGGAGGAGATAGGTTTGCAGTGACAATAAGTTAACTTTTCAGTAGAGCCCGACTAAGTCCCGCTTGCATTGGAATAGGCACTCAATGTAGCAAGGATACAAAATTAAATGTTATTGGAGCTTGATTCCAGTCAAGGATGGTGGGAATGACTGCATGCACACCACCCCATACAATGCCAGGTGGGTAACTGAAGTGCAGCTCAAGCAGACTCTCTATTTAAAGTGCTCGGCAGCTAATTTCCCCGTATCTTGAATGTTAAAGAACTCCACCACCCCCACCCTTGCGGGATCTCATGAACACATAAATCAACCTACAGAGATGATTTTGGTACTGTTGGATAGGTCAGAATGTCAGCATTAAGACGAGTATAAAACCAAAAAATGAAAAATTCAATGACTTTTAGAGTAGACACCCCCCTTAATTTACACTCCGGCGTCGAGCCACCTATAATTTTCCATTCTTGTGTACAGCAATACTAAATATAGATATATAATTAGAAGAAAAATTACATTGAATTCAATTTATACCATGGCTTTTCATCTTTGAAAATGCAGGCATGTAAAATATCTACTTTAAAAGCCACTACTAAAGTTTTCCTACCACTTAGCAACACCAAGAGTCCTGCAAGATGAATTATTTCCCATCTATTTGTTAACTAAAATTATAAAATGCAGAATCGTCTTTAAATTCCATAATTATTAAGGTTTAGGAAATTCACAATTCTAGTAATGAGAAAGAATTTTTCAACATTTGGAGAAAATAAATCTGGACTACTGGTATTACACAAAAGTTACTAAAAATCATGTGTGAAACCAATTGTTCAAAGAACCCTTTTTGAAAATTAGCTATTTACTGCATTTTTTTAATAAAATAAATTCACGAAGGGTCATAAAAATAGATGAAATGGACTGCAAGTACAGCAGTTTATGTCCCATTAACAGATAGGTTTTGTCCAATTATTCACAATGGGTGGCAAAGCAGCACCATCAACTGGGTAATAAGGCATGGTTTTGAGCATTTTTTGTTAAAAACTTCTTACCATGAAACAGTTCATAAACAAATTTGGGCTCATTTTAAAGGTCTTTGCAAGGGCTATTGCATGGCATCTCTGAAAAATTCCATACAGTATTCCTAATGTGCCAAAAGCAATATAAAAGTGTCCCGAATTGCCCCTGGGAATGGGGTAATCCGAGACCCTTGAAATACCATAACACTTAATTTTAAAATGTTTGAAGCATGCAGAGTGTACTTTTTACAGTAACTAACAGTACTCTCAAGTTCTCATCTTCCTTTGCAGATGATGCAGATGTAGAATATATGACATTTTCTGTGATTTTTATAGGTTTTTGTTTTTTTAACACGTTAAGTGCGGGGGCCGAAATTGCCGACTGCCCGCTGGTGCGGCTATGTTTGGGTTGCTATATCGTCAGTGCCTCTCCAGACATCGAAGCGTGAGGTTGTGTGTGTATGTTTGTCAATGTGCTCTACGTGTTAGCGCAATAAAATTCACGACCCACATGTGGGCGTTTCGCAGCAGAGTGTGAGATTTATCATGTCACTGCGGCACGACCCACATATGGGTCGTGCGACAATTTGCTGATAAATTTATTTTACCTAACTTTCCTGTTTCACAAGTCACAACTCACTCTCATGTATTTTCAAACCATTCATGATGGAAATGTATAGTTTTTAGGGTGATTCTAAGGGAGCGAAACGTGATGAACTATCTTCCGACAGTGATGATCCCATTCCATCAGATGACACGTTCTCACCAGAGAGGACCGATGGTTCAGAGTGTGATGAATTGAATGATGAAAGTGATTTAGATGGTGAAATTAGTGATGACAACAACAAAGGTAATGATATTCAAGCAATAGAAGGTCAGACAGAGCAAAGTGTGTGCCTAAGTGTCGGCTCAAATAAGAAAGTTTCCGTTTTCCGGTAAGGAAGAACTGTCAATCGCACCTAACCCTTCTCATGAAGGGAAGATCTGGCCTATTGATGCTTACTCCCTTTTTTTGACAGATACAATCATAGAATTGATAGTTCGTGAAACAAATTATTATGCAGAACATTTGCGAGCACAACCAAATCTAACAAGGAACTCGAGACTGAATTGCTGGACGCCAACTTTAATTTACAGAAATAAAAAAAATTGTAGGAATCATCCAGTAGCTACATGGGACTGAATCCTCAATATTCCATGAAATCTCACTGGTCAAAAAGTGTTCTAATTGAGAGAAGATGTGACCATGAGATAATGGTAACAGACAGATTTTTTATTCTACTGAGGACCCTTTATTTCAATTATTCAGGCCCTCCTCATAATCCTCCCTAATCTTCAATAAATACTGCAGTGGGCGGCACAAATGGACAATCGTAAAATTCACAGAATCTCTTATTTTTTCACTCTTTTATGGATATCTGATGGAAGAACCATCTAAAAAAGATACGGCAAGACAAGTGCCCATCGCTCGCACGAAGATCCTGGCTCGAAAGGCAAGACAAGAAAGCGCTGTGTGGGATGCTATAAAATGATTTCCCAGTCAGAAGGATCAAAAGTTGCAGAAAGAAAGGTCAAAAATTATCAACATTTTATGAAGGATGCTCTGGAAAACCATTTTATGTGCTGGTCACGTTTCAGTTCAAAACATCATCACTAATTTGTGGGTATTTTCCTCATATTAAAAACTTGCAACTGGAAATAATATATAAGTTTTATTTGGCACTTATATAAATCAGTAAAACTCATTTTCTATCATTTAAAACTTTTATTTAATGATACTAACACAAATATGCTGTATATTTCAATGAAACTAATTTTATGGGCTCTTATCCATATTTGGTATTATTTTTATAAACGACCCACTGGTGGGTCGTTTCGCAGCAGAGGGATATCGGCTACGACCCACCGGTGGGTCGTGCCGCACTTAACGTGTTAATATGATATTACCATTTCAATTGACATGCCATTGAGCATTGACATCAACTTTGTCCAGTGCAAGCTTCATATAAGCAGCCATAGCATTTCTTCTGTATCTGTAAGCTTACAGGATGGCTTGTAATTTTGCTCCAGTTTAATTGGGTCAGGTGAATTCACTATAACAAAAAAAAAAAAAAAAAATTGAAAAAAATTACTGTAACAGAAAATATTTTAGTGACTATCATATTTTTTGCATAAATAAATTGTAGTTTAGGTTAATTACTTTTCAATCTATGTTGCCTGGTGCACAATTCTACCTATGACATTCTATGCAATGAATTTTTAGAGGTGACACTTATTGCCTTGTAGTGCAAAAATGGCTGCCATTTTTTTGGTATGAGCTATGAAAATTCCATCAATCACGTTTTTAAGGGGAGCGTCTACCCTAAAATTTATCTCGGCTATTTACAGACAGATCACTTTGAAATTTGGTACACATATGTAAAACAGAAATCTAAGACTTTTTTGTTCGTGTGAATTTTTCGAAAAAAATGAAAGAAAACGTGAAATTCTTAGAAAACGGCCAAAAAAGGGGGTACCGTAGAAATCCTACTCCTAGGGTTTTAGAGCTACAACATTGAAACACATATCATTCGATGCATAAAGACCATATCTATAATTCATCGTGAACGTTTTTTGAAATTCTCATTTTTGTGGGTGTGGCATTTTTTTGTAAATTTTTCGGAAATTTTTCGATTTTCCCCCCGGGCCCCCCCACACCCCCCCTTTTGGCGGAATAAAATCCAAACTATAACGAAATTGGAAAAACATTTATGATGAATTGTAGATCTTTCTTTTGCAAATTGAACGGTATACGTCTCATTGTTGTAGCTTCAAAACTCTAGGAGGAGATAGGTTTTCCGTGACAATAAGCGTGAATTTTGAGGAGAGCGCGACAAAGTCCCACGCGCACCACAATATGCGCTCAATGTAGCATAGATACCAAACTAAACGTTTTTGGAGCTTGATTCCACTCAAGGATGATGGGAGCAACTACATGCGCATCTCTCCCTACAAAGCCCGGAGGCACACTGAGTCAGACCTCACAAAAACACTATATTTGTAGTGGTGGATAGCAAATTATCTCGTATCTAATTACTGAAAGAACTCACCCCCCCGCTCCCCTTTCATGAAGTGTCGTGTACGTAAAAATCGACGTACAGAGATGGTAGTGGTACCATTGGATAGGCCAGAATGTCAGCTTAGTGGTACCGTTGGATAGGGCAGAATGTCAGCTTTAAAATTAGTATGAAAACCGAAAAAGTAAAAATTTTCAATTTTAGGGTAGACGCTCCCCTTAAGCCAACACCTGGGTGCAACTTTCAAGTAAGTAAAATTTTCTAACATGGCAAATATTTTTTTGCTACAGAGTAGACAGCAGAAGTACTTTTCTAAAATCTCACTTTGCACTCATTTATTCAAGGATTTATTAGGGGTAGTAGATGTACAAGTTCTTAACTTAATTTAAGCTACATAGATTGAAAAAACACTAAACTTAGGGTAAACGCGGTATATTCCAACACATTAAGGACGCATTGAGAAATGAAGAGCTATAAAAAAAACCGTATGTGTTACTCGAGTTCTGTTTTCTTTATGTGACTCAAAACACCGCACAACGCACCAGCAACGATGAAACGTCACAAAATGTTGCCATGTTTATTTAAAAGCCTTTAGAATGCAAACCTACCAAATCCCTATATAATGACACTGTGTGTGACTATATTCGGCACGTGGAAAGATGTATTCCGACCGCGCTTCAAATTGTACCAATACGTAATTCCGACATCCACGTGTTAGAATTCTGATCGCTGTGTGAGCTTTATTGGAATACAACACGGCTTTGAATTAGAACACTATTGAATATTGAGCACTACTTAATTAGGCTTTTAATTACCAGTTATTAAGCTTTTAATTAGGAAAATTTAAATTTTTGCACACAGCTTGGAACAAGCTGTGTGTGTCCAATTCAAGTTGTGTCAGAATTAGCTTTTATGTGTCTAAATCCATTTCTCAACTTAATCATCTATTAATTTATTTATCACTTGAAATCAGCAAATACAAGTATACTTAAAGGATTCCTAATATATTCACAGGCGTATTTAAAAGTCTCAAACCACAATATTCTTTCTACACAAACAGTTTATCACTATTTGGTAGAGCAAGGTCAATTGTCAACTTTGACACATTTTTCAATGATCTCATTGGGTGGCAGGCACTGTCTCTCTTTGGATCTCAACATTTTCCCACTAGATGGCCCAGACCTAGTGTTTTGGCAGTAGTTTGATGCGCAAATGTATGACATCACTATTTCAACCATCAACGAATGCATGGAACTAAAACAAAGCTCAATATAAAGGAAAAACTAGAGAGGTGTTGGAATTACCCACGATGTTGGTGTCGGAATACACCGCGTTTACCCTATGCCACTATTTTTAGTTTTACAATTTAAATTGGTTTAGTTGTTGACACATTTATATAATATGTCAGAGGACTGTCCTGATTTACCCCACATCCCCTGCCTGTCCCTTATTACCTCATTTGATGGTAACTTTTTAGACTTTTTCTTTATAAGTTCTGTTATCTTATGAATAGACATGTTCATTATTGTATGGTAAAGTCACCAAGATTAAACATTCAAGCCATAGGATTCTACATATATTGAAATTATATCTCTTTTTCATCTGCAACATTTCAGTAATAATTAGAAAGATGCAAATCTAGCTCGGTAGCTCCAAACCATAGCAGAAAAATTTGGTAGAAGCCACACTGAATCCAGCCAATTTCTACTATTCTCATGGGCATGGCTTTTTCTAAACTTCTTCACTGAAAAAAAGGGAAATAGCATATTCTCAACTTGAATTTCCAAAAATAATGCATCAAACAATTTTTTTACCCACAATTAATACTTTTACATAACTTCTGCCAGATAGGTATTCCAAATTAGCTACTAAAGGCAAAGGCAGTGCAAAGCAGTTGATAAAAGAATTGGGTTCTCTAAATCAAATTGACCTTAGACTTCCTTTGCAGTTTAAATATATTCAATTCAGAAACATTACAATACCGTCAACCGGGGTAATTCGGGACGATTTTGAGCGTTTTTTGTTAATAACTTCTTACGATGAAACATTTCATAAACAAGTTTAGGCTCATTTTATAGCTCTTTGCGAGGGCTATCGAATGGCATTGTCAAAAAAATTCCATATGCTATTCCTAAGGTGNATTACCCCGCCAGTCCCGAGTTACCCCGGTTGATGGTATGTAATTTTGACCAGCATAATATAGTTTTCTTCAAGCAGCAAGTTCATTGCAGTCTGCATTTTGAGAAAATTGCAGGTGAAAATATGCAATTTTTTCACCATTTTTCTCACTGAAAAATTTTGAAAAAGCCATGCAGATAAGAATGCCTAAAATTGGCCAGATTTTGAAGCATTTTAGTCCAATTTATGGGTGGCTTCTGCCCAGTTTTTCAGTTAGGTAGGCTACCTAGGTGTGCATCTGTTTTGTCTCAGCTCAGTCAGCTGTCAGTGAAATTTTATTGGATAGCCTACCAGTCATAGTGGCAAAGCACAGAGTTTTTTAGACTCTCCCTCAAGTTCATTCATAGTGGCAAACCAGGGCTTTTTTAGAATCAGTTCATTTTTAATTTCCTCATTTACTCAAGATTTAAACCAATTTCTTAAGTATGATAATGCTGGTATCCAGGATACTTTATTTGTCTACCAATGGGACTCAAAAATGAACTTGAGGGAGAGTCTAAAAAACTCTCTGCTTTGCCACTATGAGTTCATTTGTGAGTCCTATAAGTAGACCAGTAAAGTATCCTGGATACCAGCAGTATCATACATAAGAAATTGATTTAAATCTTGGGTAAATGAGGAAATTAAAAATGAACTGATTCTAAAAATCTGTGGTTTGCCACTATGGCCTACCTAGTTCATGGAATCATATGCATATCAAGCATGAAGTTCAACTTATTGCAAAAAAATTATATTGTGAACCGAGATCGGGTAGATCCTGCATCGTGCATGGGCAGCATGGCAACACAAGATTCAACAAGGTCAAGATGTGTGGGCAGTGTGGCACACTGGGAGTGGAGGCTAGCCTACTCTACTGTCAGTGTCAGGTGTCATCGACGATTTGACGTCGACTCTAGCTAGATCTTACAAGTTACACAGAAATGAATAAATTATCACATAAGGAAATAAATAGCGGAAACTTGGTTAGGAATAGAAGTTTCAAGTCAAACGATGATAATGAAAATCAATAAAAATACTCTTCAAGAACATACCTGAAAGTTGTCAACGAAAAACTGTACGGTTCGGATGACATGATTTGAAGCTTGAACCACGTTCTTTAACTTTCTATGTTCTTGTCAGAAAGCAGCACAACTTGACAGGAACTGAGTAAGGTAGAGAAAAGCCGCAACGAAGCACAAAAATGTCATTCTTCCTCAAACAAATTTTTAATCAATGATTGTATTTCTCAGGGAACAATATCAATACATAAATATAATCCATAACAATATCTACTGCACAATTTGTGATCTATTCTAAAATAATATCCAAAATGCCAAATAATATATCATTTTAAACTATTGTTGTAAGATTTCATTTGTTTGTAATTTTAGACTTTGTAAGTTCTATTTTATATCAGATATACCGGTAATTCAATGATCTATCGGTGAGCTCTAAATTTTCGAGTTCAAGGAAAAAATCTGAAGATGATAATAACGAAAATTTACTAAAGTGTAAATCTGATGACGATAATAATTTCGATGATCAACTTTCGAGGTGCTTGAGCATATGAATGAAATAAGGAAATAATTAGTATAATAAAGCAATTTGTATCATTGACGACGATTAATTATTTGGAGTCATATCAAGCAGGAATGTTCAATTCGTTTGGAACACCGTGATTGCGAACTGAGGTCGAGTAGATATTTCATAGCAATACCCAGATTATTAAATTGTCTTATGCATATATAAATAATATTAAATATATACCACCAGCATCATGCAACAAGCTGAAATGAATATCTATCTGGGCCATTTTTTTACAAGCTTTTGTACATGAAGCAAACTGCTAGAAGCAATTACGTTCAATCGAATTTAAAATTCTGTTACGAGAAATCCATCATAAACGGAATAAAATACTGAAAAGGGGTTTGCAATATCATGAACAAATGACGAAATATTTTAGCAAGGCTCCTCGAAAATTATGCCATCACATTTTTCATAGAAATGAGTAATTTGTCTGTGGGCCATTAGGAACTCTACGCTGTATGCGAGCTCCGAGGACGACCGACTTGCGTAAACTTGGGTTATTTTTAAAGGATTTGCAGCTGCACGATAAGGACTTGCGAGAGTGTGCCTTGGAGCTGAGGTTCGGACTGCTCAGTCAGGAAGCAGGCTTCGATGTAGCAACATCAGAAGGACCCCCCGCTCAGAAGATTATACTCATATATATTTACAGGTCAGTTCAGAGTACGGACTGTGTTAGGTTTCTTGAGTTCAAATATTTAAAATAAGGTTAAAAAAATATCAGCAAAAAAAATAAATAAAAATATCAGAATGCTTGCTTTAATATCAATTAATAAAATTTGTAATATCAATATGTACATTTCAAGGCTTGGTCAATACATAACAAGTAATAATATGATAATGGTAAGTTCAATTTCTTTGAAATTGTTCATGCGCTGTTTGCATTTATTACGAAATAACGAGGAAAAATTCCGAAATAAATCTTCGAATTATCGTCATCAAATGCTAACTCAGTAGAAATGTATTTCTGTTAATAATCTAATTAACAAAATAAAAAATCTAATCTAAATAAATAAATCTAATATTAAATAAATCTAATATTATTAAGTAAATAAATCTAATTTTTTTCTTATAATTTATGCAGGTACAACATACTAGTACCAACTCACGAGTTTAAGCCATGCAATGTGCAAGAAAAAAAACTGCAAACAATATAGTATTGTCAATATTTAAAATATTTACTTGGTAATTTTGCTGTCATTCGAAAATCAGTTATTGTCACAGAGTAGAATGTTTTTTGTTTGTTTACCAATAAACATAAGTAAACCTGCTAATGCGCAATAACCGGCTGATCGGGGCCGGGAAGGCGTGGTGGCCGAAACCCGTACTTTTTCAATGGCAGATAAGGTCTAAAAAAATATAACTCAGTACTCACTGCAGTGAGTGACAGAGAGCGCATTTTATCGTCGACGAAAACTTGAGGTCACGGACGGACGGACAGACAGACAGACGGACATGGCGAGCACAATAGTGCATTTTTTCCATAAATGAGAAAACGCGCTAATAAATGAACGTTTGTTAATTTTCTGCAGGGGAGCCTTCACGGGAGAGAATCCAAATCAGAAGCGACAACAAAAACTATTGAAGGATGAGTGCCAAAATTTTGGTAAGCATTTTTGACGCATCTGTTCTATTGCATGCAAAATTTAAATTGTTAAACCCATGCATAGTTGAGTGAGAGATAAGCTGAAGACGATTCTCTCCAGGGATATCGTGACGTGTCGCTATTTATAATTAATACGCTAATTATTAATTTAAAACAAACGCAAAATGAGCGTTGGACATCGACGTAGCTATTGGCTGTTGCGTTGTTCATTAACATTACAAGGCAGAAACTATACATCGCTGCTCGTAGAGACATGAGAATACGATCGCGCGTCAGGCTTAAAGTATTGTTTGCACGACGTTTTTAATGTAATGTTTATCTGACAATGTAACATGTAATGATTACAAAGTTAAGAATAATAAAGTCAAATATTTAAATACAATCTGTTGTGAGTGTCCCATTTCCTACATTGAATTTCTAATTTAACTAGATTTCTTGGTGTCAAACTCCCAAGTGTTTGTATTTTACATTAAAATTATCAATTTTAGACTCAATTTGTAAAAAAAGTTTGGTAAGAGTCTGGGTAAAAAAGAAGTAAAATCTAAGATGTGTCAAAATTATCTACTTTGGCATGCATGAATGTATACTATTTATCACACCTCACATAAGTATTCAATAAGTGTGTTAAAACGTCATGTAACCATTAAATTAAAACCGTCGTATAACATTAAATTAAAAAGTCATGTAAACATTACATTAAAAATGTCGTGTAACATTTCTTTAAAACGTCGTGCAACAATTACATTAAAACGTCGTGGAATTATTACATTAAAACATCGTGTAAACATTACATTACAAAGGTCGTGTAAACATTACATAAAAAACACCGTGTAAACATTACATTAAAACATAAGGTAAACATTACATTAAAAACACCGTGTAAACATTACATTAGAAACATCAGGTAAACATTACATTAAAACGTCGCTTAAAAATTATATTATGAAGTCTTGTAAACTATACTAGCAAAATCCAAATAAAAATGTAGCCTTCAAACGCCCCAAGCGTTACATACTACAGTCTGCTCACGCCATCACCATGCCGACCAACGGACGTCACTATTCGACACAATAGTTTACAATGAGCGATCATATGCGTGAGTAAGCTCTGCTCTAATGACAAACTGTTACTTTCTCAATGCCTTTTTCCTGATAAACTCGGGCGCTAGTTTACAGCGAGTGTAAACTGAAGGCATCACGTATTGGAGCGTCTGTGACGGACCAGCCTCTACAAACACGTTAAAATTAACCCGGCCACCTTGCCTGCTGCGCTCGCTGAATATTACGCGCATTTGCACGGCTCCACTTCCCAACAGCGTAACACTCTAGGTGAACCTATACGCCACTGTAGGTTACTTCTCGGCAGCGCAACACTCTGGGTAAACCTATAGGCAACTATAGGTCTCTTCGTGGTAGCGCAAGGTTCTGTGTAAATTTATACACAACTACAGGTCCCTTCTCGGCAGCGCAACGCTCTGGGCAAACCTCTATGCAACTATAGGTCTCTTCGTGGAAGCGCAACGCTCTGGGTAAATTTATACGCAACTATAGGTCCCTTCTCGGCAGCGCAACACTCTGGGTCAACCCATACGCCACTGTAGGTCCTTTCTCGGCAGCGCAACGCTCTGGGGAAACTTTTACGCAACTATAAGTCCCTTCTCGGCAGCGCAACACTCTGGGTAAACCTATACGCAACTATAGGTCCTTTCTCGGCAGCGCAACACTCTGGGTAAACCTATACGCAACTATAAGTCCTATCTCGGCAGCGCAACGCTCTGGGTAAACCAATACGCAACTATACGCAACTATAGGTCCCTTCTCGGCAGCGCAACACTCTGGGTAAACCTATACGCAACTATAGGTCTCTTCGTGGCAGCGTAACGATCTGGGTAAACCTATACGCAACTATAGGTCTCTTCGTGGCAGCGCAACGTTTTGTGTAAATTTATACGCAACTACAGGTCCCAACCCTGCAGCGCAACGCTCTGGGGAAACAAATACGCAAAAAATTCCATCCCTTTCCCTGATGCTCAACGCTCTAGGTAAATTTATACGCAACACACGCAGTGATGTGTAAGATGGGTCATAGTTCAACGTGTAGCGTCTAATATTGCCTCAGGCACAGTTGTGGGCTCACCGACACTCTCCTCGAGCTGAGATAATATTATAATAAAAAATAACGGTTCCAGCGTTTAGTAAGCCGTAGGCCAGTCGCCGATTCTTAACATCGCAGCTCTGCGCCAATCCTGCTGGTACTCTGACTATAGGCACTGGGCCACCCTGCGATGTATTTTAGGCCATTTTCAGTTTATCCCCTCTCATAATGATGTCGTATACCAGACCAGGAATTAATCATCCTATTGAACTTTGTGCCTGGTACTTAGGCAGTCAGGTCGCATCGTTTGACAGCGGTTGATTTGGTCTACATCCTTATATTTGTTATCACAATTTTAAACATGTTTATGGATATGAAATAGATTCTATGAATTTCCAGGCATTCTCATTTTCAGTGAGAAAAATTGAACAGAAACTATTTTTAATTTAATTCGTTATCACGGATTCACGGATAATACCTCAAGCTTAAATTGAGTCCATAGTGAATAAGTGAATAGAGTCCAAAAGGATTAGGTAAACTGAGTATATCGACTGTCCAACCTAAATCCATGTTATGACTGGTATACCATTTAAAGTAGGGTTCCGGGCAACACAAAATCAACGAAATTGGTCATTTTCATTTTTCTCATTAAAAAAAGACAATTTATAAGCTGGATTATTTAGCGGTAACTTATTATCATTCATTTTCTCCCCCAATTCCGATGTATTTTTTTCTGGAGAAAATTATTGTATAGTTTACTGTGCTCGTTGTAGGTAAGAAGTTTTATATTCGTTTTGGTTTTGAATAAACTAACGATTATTAGAATCACGAGCGATTATACGAAAAAAGTAAGCTGTACAAATAATGTGGTAAAAAAAATCGGTGCGGGATATGAAAATAAATTTGTACTCCCAAATATTCACGAAGAAAATGATTGACGACTAGCTGAAAGAAAACGGTTTTGAGCGTAAACCTAAATATTATTCTGCCTAGATGCTTTTTAAATTTTTTCGTGGAGGAAGATGAATAAATAAATAAATTTCAAAGTAGATTTCATAAATTTACTTTACACAAGACCGATGGGTGACAGATAATAATACAAAGAGTTTGGCTTTCCGCAGAGACATGACTCTTGCTTTGGAAGCCCTACAAACGGTTTGCGATCATGCGATCATTGCGATGCTTCTAATTTATGAAAAGATGTGCACTATTCAAATAAATTTTCTTATTTATTGAACTAAATCAATACCTATGATATGTAATGTAACTTTAATTGCAAACAAATTTGAATTTATATGCGCTTCTGAGGTAATTTCAAACTAACAGCACAGATACCCACACACGTTGAACGTGTGATACGCAAGATACGCAAATAATTAAACACTATTGTTAGTAGATACTTACTGTAAAGGACTTTATTATAGTCTAGTCCTTTGGGAACTTTATGGCTATTCCATTACGCGCCATCATGGCAGGATAAGAACGAACATTCCATGACGGACGGTTACTAGAAAGAAATGACAAATATACATAAGAAAAATATGCCTATAAGAAAAAGATACGCTATTTACATAAAATAATATATGACCTAAGATACATCAATAATAATTAAACAGGATAATCAATGATTCACGAAAGCAAACAATAAATCGAACGAACCGAATAGCTTGGTTCCTCAAGTAGTGCAGGCATCTGTAGTATATCTAAGGCTAACAATGAACGCTGTAACGCTAGTGAAATCAACTGCGTCGAGTAGGCTAATTCTATTGCTACAAATTCCAGAAAAATGGAAATGGCGGCTGCATTATCTCTCTATTGGAGTTTTAATAAGAAGTATGACAACAAAAATAGAATCTTTCAGTCAGATACTCAGAGGACAAGAACTAGACAATGGCGGCAAGTGTGAACTGATTAAAGTTATGTCCGATAGGTGAGGCAACTGAAAGTCCCGACTCTGTTTTGCGTTCGACGTTGATACGTTTCTTTTCAACCGTAGTAACTCATCAACACACCGTTTTTCTTCAGTTAAAGGGATCAGAATATTTCGAACACAGAAACATATTTTCAAGCAAAACACGGCATCATAAAATTCTCAATTTATTGAAAAATCCAAATTCAATTAATAACGACGGCTCAATAAAGTTTGCGACGTGAGTCGCAGAGCAGAGAAAACTTTTATTTTCTTTTATGTTCCCACGATTTGATCAGTCGATATGGACGATATTCTAAAAGAAATGTTAGTTCTTTTATTATCAGAAATTGAAATAAGTACTTACACTCACAATAGTATTCACAATCAAAGATTTATGGGATCATCATTCACTGGGAAACTCATTCCTGATGAGGCATTTACCCTTCGTACAATATACCACAAAGGCCTCCAGGTCCGGAGGAGCTAAAGAAAAAATTTGCGTTTAAAAATTAATTTCTAAAGACAACACTTCTAAAGTGACCTCTGTCTCCGATGTTACACTTGTACAATGAATTTCTTATTTTATATTTAAATATTAAAAAATTATTTTTTAATATTTTTATCAAACAATTTTAATTTGTTATTTAATTATTATTAATAAACAAATTTTAAATTGTCATTTGTTAATTTGTTGTAAATTATTTATTCTGCCAATTGATTCAAGCATTGTCTCCGGCTTTACGCAAGAGTGCAAAATTTCAGATCGATTGGACAAATAGAAGTGTGTTAAATATCTCTTATCGTATTTGTATCAGACAAACAAACAACAAGAAGTGAAGTTAAAGAGAAGCGTTGTAAAAATGACTGCGCGTCGAAGATAAAGTTTTCGAAAGGCACAAATGCAATCCGGAATGAGTCACATCAAAGCCTTGTGCTGCCCTGTTAAGACATACAGCCGAAACGTAATAATTATCATTTGTGAAGGGCTTTCATTGAATTGAAGATACATATTGATTGGTGCCGTGCCGTAACGTATGAGCGAACAATAATAGATCAATCGACAAACACACTGTTTCAATTAATATACAATCTTAATAGGCATAAATGTTACAATCTTTGCCTTCGGTTACTCAATGTAACAGGAAATTTATTGTAACAACAAATTTAAATTCACACATTAAGTAGCATTCATGGATAGAAAACGTTATTGATGATGTAATATATTATTTTTCTCAATGTAGCTTCTTTGTTTCAATTTTATTTGACACATGCCGAAAGCTCATTGCTTTTAGGGGCTGGAAACGTTCAGTAACGTTTTTCGTTACAATCAGCAGTTGAAGTAACAACATATTGATGTAAATCTATAGCTCTAGGTCTACTTTAAAGCATAGATGTATAAGCAACTTATAGTTCTTCTTGCTCAAACGTCTCGAAAATTTGCATTTTATTGAATGTTTTACACCACCGTTTAAAGAAAGAAGAAGAGAATTTCTTCATAAATATATATTTGAAGTAATTGTATTTAATCTGAAGTAATCTTGGCACTGTCATTAACTTATAATAGGCTTTCGCGTATTTAGATCTTCCGTCCGAGTTGAATTGGAGTTCATTATTGGAGCGAACGAATTTTTAAATACAATAATTATAAGCTTGTGTCTTATTGGACTAGACTAGCACAAACTAATTTGACGTTTATAATTAACATTGCTATAGTCTTAATCGTGTTAAAGCATTGCAGCGATCGAATTTTACATGCTGTCGTCTAACAGGCCATGGGCCTATTTCTTCAGCGCCGACACTTCTATTCTATTCTAACAGCACGTAGCCTCTTTTCGCCCCAGTCTTATTTTCAACACGAAAGTTGTTTTTGGCGTTGATGGTTTGGGTCGAGATCGTGCCTGCTATGTATAGTGCTGGTTCTAATGCAATGTATATTGCTGGTTCTAATGCCGCAGCTATAGAGCTACGAATCTCTGTAGCCGATGAGTAAAGCTGGTGGCTCTAGCCCAAGCGAAGCAGCTATATTGCAGCACTGTTCTGCCTCTGCCGCACCTTGACTTACATTCCTCACCTTTGTTTTCTTTCGTTCAACTGACAAGTAACATGTTGAAATTAGGCATTTTTACATTTTTCTTGCCAATAAAAATTAATTTTCTCGTGCAGTTGGTTCATTTGTGTTTACATGAATAAGTTCGATTACATGTACTCTTTGAATTTCTCGATGGGGATTAGAAAAATCTAGTTTATATATAAAGAAAAAAATATTCTCTCGAGGCGTACTAGCCTTGCCCATAAAGAGCAAAGACCTCAGTTACGTCACAGCGTGAAGCACCAACACAGTACAGCGCAGGCCTCAGCATCGACACAGAAGCTCGCGGCCCGAATGCCATACTCGCATGTTTTCAAATTTTCGTTGCTTCGATTCGTTAGTTTTACTTTTTTTAAGATCATGTCTCCATGTGGATTTTCGGTAGAAAATAACTGTTCCAAAAATTTCAATGCTCAAAGTTCTTTCACCGTCATTTTCCGCAACATTCTCGAGGAAACGTTTGAATAGTGCATTCATTTTATTAAATTCATATTAACATTGGAACATTTTAAGCGAGTATTTTAGTCCTACATATATTTAGTTAATCAATTGTAGACAGAATCCAATCGGCAATTAAATCTAGGTATGAATGTTTTTATTACACGGATATATACATTCATTCCATGCTAAGTATGCGTGGTTCCTTTGGAGGCTCGTACATCTGAATCTTAACAAGTAACAACCAATGACTGATAGATATTTACTCCGCTAATGACATTCATAGTTTGTCTCATGTATCCTACAAAGGAACGAATAAATAAGGTATATAAAATAATTAAAGAATAAGAAATGAGATAACATTTTCTTTAAAGAATATAAAAACCATTGGCTTATGTTTTGACATTGGCATCGATCTCTGTGACCTGTTAACAGCAAGCAGGGCCTCGACTGTCTCGAACTGTCAGTCACAAACTCCAGTCATGGCGACGGTGTCTATTTCAGAGCCGTACACGTGGTGCTGTGTTATTAGTGGTTGCTTAGCATCAGGTACGTCCTGTCAAAGACATGGTCGTGAGAGTGACACTCGTAGACTAGCAACGAGACAGAACTATTTTCAGGAAAACCCGGATGAAAAGAGATTGAAATTGAGAGCAGTCTTTATATTAGTAATTTCTTGAATTGAACAGTCATTTATTTTGAAAGAAGGTTTAAGGTTGTCATGGTGCGATTGGAATTTCACTTGAAATAGCAGTTGAATGAGCTGAAATAAAAAATGGGTAAATAGGAACTGTTTAATGTCATTCTGCAGACGCCGACCATGTGCTACCAATGTCGGCTGGTAGCAACGAGATCGGCAAGCCATAAGAAATAAATTAGTATTTGTGATGACGTAGCTAAATCACTGATATATCATATGCCTGAAATAGCAAGAAACTCTAGCTGGTAGACCGTATGCAAATTAACTTTTAATACTTAAATTAAATCAATTAAGCTCACGGATATGATCAAAGTAGATCACGCCCACACTGCGGCAAAAAGCTGACCACAATTCCGTCTCGATATGGCGGGGTTGGCAAGCGGGTGTAAAGCGCTCTTGATCACGAGGCGGTAAATAGAAGCGGGCTACACGCCCCTGGGCTACGAAGACGCGGTTACGTTTCGTGAGACTAGCACTGTGCTTACGAAACGCAGTCGGAGAACAGCTTCACGCTCTCGTTCTTGCTGATAGTGAGCAACATCGTCCAACATGGTACGTATTCACGCTCTCGTTCTTGCTGATAGTGTGAACAACATCGTCCAACATGGTATGTAGAGCGAGAGAGCTCATGCAGTTTTGCAAGAGTGTGATTTGAAATTTGCTGACAGGCAGGTTTGATAAATTTCGTTGAATTAGTGACTTCTGGAAAATTATTTTGAGAACGGTTATTTATCCTCTATAATGGATGATCAACAGAGTGGTTGAACACACACACTCTACAATTCAATGAACTCTTACAAGACCAAATGTCCATCAATGATAGGTCATGTTTCACTACATGCCAATTGAAAATTTAACGCAAACAACGTTTTTTTTCAAAACCGCAAAAACTTGTTCCAAATAATTTGCATCATTATAGTTAACCTGAACATTTTACTCTAATTCCGTACGTTCAAGTGAGGCGGTTCAACCTACAAATGGGGCTAATTATAAATTTGTACAATTAATTGTTATAAATGATTGATAGATACAATTAAATGTTTCTTGTTCATCCTCTATAGTTGTAATTTCATTGATAGAAATTTTATTATCACTGAAGCAGCTCTACTGAATACAACCGTCAGAAGTCATTAATTTCAAAAGCTATCTTGGAATTTTGATTGCTTGCGTCGGGTTCTGGAATGAGCGAGTGCTGAAAATTTAAGTTACATGAATGCAGTGATTTTACGAATGGTGCGAAAATGTCAAGCATGAAAGGAAATAATTTTGTGAATTTACTGAAGATCAGCTTTCTTAACAGGAATTCGCCCGCAACATTTGAAGTAATTGTATTTAATCTGAAATAATCTTTGCCAGGATGTAATAATAAAAGCCACGATGACGCGCTTCTAGCCATTAATCCTGACGCTCAGTCCTGAACTAAAATTCTATGTTATTGTCATCGACTATTAAATTCATTTGATATTTAAATTGTACGCTCTATATATGTGCAAGTGATGGGGATTTACACAAGGTGTACAAATCCCTCGCAAGAAATGTTTTTTTTAGCAAAGTGAAGAAGTTGAAAATAAAAACAACAGCATCGCCCAAAACATTGGTCCCCATATAGAAATTATTAGCCGAAACTGATAAGGAAGGAATTGTTCTGTAGTAGCGGGGTGAAGTTGAGGATTGTATTATATATTTCTTAGGCAAAGTCAATTCTGTTTTAAAACTAATAAATGCCTCCAGGATTAGGAAACTAAGTCTCGCCTGAAAGAGGAAAGAGATAACCCTATTTCTATAGAATATTCAATATGAGAAACGCTCATTATTGGAATCATTGCTCATCGCAAACGCTCATTGGTTCATCATTTAATGTTCTGTTAAGTTACGTTCTATATTAACAACATGCGAAAACGACTGACATGCCATGCTTTCTATTATAAAACTGTGACGGATAACAGTTTCGTAGCGCACAGTTGTATAGAGATGTGAGATGTACGTGAACAGTTGCGCAGTAACACGTACATATCTCACCTTTCCGTTCCGAATAAAATGCTCAGACTTGCATCAAGTTTAGAGGCTGCAAATGAGTTCAGCGAAGAGCAAAATCTTGGCATAGCGCCATGACTGAACGCTGGGCTCACAGCCGAGACCTGCCCAGACCTACAGCGGGCGTAGGGCTTAACATTGAGCCGAGACCTGCCCAGACATACAGCGGGCGTAGGGCTTAACATTGAGCCGAGACCTGCCCGGACCTACAGCGGGCGTAGGGCTTACCATTGAGCCGAGACCTGCCCAGACCTACAGCGGGCGTAGGGCTTACCATTGAGCCGAGACCTACCCGGACCTACAACGGGCGTAGGGCATACCATTGAGCCGAGACCTGCCCGGACCTACAGCGTGCGTAGGGCTTACCATTGAGCCGAGACCTGCCCAGACCCACAGCGTGCGCAGGGCTTACCATTGAGCCGAGACCTGACCGAACCTACAGCGGGCGTAGGGCTTACCACTGAGCCGAGACCTGACCGGACCTACAGCTTGCATAGGGCTTACCAATGAGCCGAGACCTGCCCAGACCTAAAGCGGGCGTAAGGCTTCCCATTGAGCCGAGACCTGCCCAGACCTACAGCGTGCGTAGGGCTTACCATTAAGCCAAGACTTGCCCAGACCTACAGCGTGCGTAGGGCTTACCATTGAGCCGAGACCTGCCCAGACCCACAACGTGCGTAGGGCTTACCATTAACACAGAGCTGTCGTTAACGCAGGATACGGGAACACTATAGACTTTTTAATAGCTCGTCGAGGGAATGCGAATGCACTTCTGATTTGTTATCCAGCTATGAATTTACCAGACGGATGTTTATCAGCATTTACTCACGTGATTTTTTCAACGTAGTATGTAATAATATATTATTATATACTATTATTATAGTATTATTATTATATATTATATAGTAAAGTATATATACTATTAATATAGTATATTATATATTATTAATAATCAAATATATTAGTTTATAATAACTACCTTGATTTAGAATAAACAAACAGAATTATTTATTCACCTTATGATTGCCTTTTTTTTAATCGTGGATTAAAAAAAATTAGTCTTAATTTCTGTTTAAACCTGAAGATTTTTTAACCCTTAGCCGCAAACGACAGCTGTGCTGAGTGTCAAGCTCTGTTTTAGATGCACCACAGCTGGGCTAGTGCGGGATGTGCCAGGGAGCGAGGGCTCTATATATGGTTGGCAATGGGCACACGTTAAATTAAATTAAATTAAATTAATTAAATACGATGTAAATACAAACACGTACAGGCTGGCATAATTTGTTATTTGATGCAAATTCGATTGAAGATTAGAGAATTTGATTAATGTGATTTAATGTGAAATTTCTGGTGTTTTTGCAATAAGCCGAACGAATTTTTTGCGGGCGTTGATATATAGGAAATCAAGTTTCTGAACGACATTTCAATACATTAATAAAGTTGTAAATGCATTCACAATTATGCATTGTTCAATGCATAATTATGCATTGTTCAATGCATAATTGACACATTGAATAATGTAATTTTTATCGTTCAAAAACACGTGTATAGCATAGCATAGCAGCTTCGGCATTAAAGAAAAGGTCTTATTAGCCCTGTCACCGATTCTTGAATTTTTTTGTGACTTGTTCACTAATCTAAAAACTGACATTTTGACCAGATTTTTTTTTCAACTGCCGTTGGTTTGACATCATCACTGAACTTTAACTAGTTCCGCAATGTGCTAGGCATTTTAACACTGGACATATACTTTTGCATATCTTTGTCTATATAGTTTATTCTTGAACGCGTTCTTACAGGGAGTGTTGTCAACGCCATCACGGAGGCTGTTCCGCATGTTGGTGACTCGCGAATAAGTTAATACTAAGAAATCGCAACCCGAAAATCTCTCCGTTCGAAACGTTGCTATCTAAATAAAAATATTAATAATGTCCTTCGAAAACCTGCTTTGCGATCTATTAACTGCAAAAAATTCTTTTTTGACGCAATAAAAACAAGAAAATATTCTACATAATATTTCTCAAAGATATTTTGTATCTTAGAAGTATGTCTCCGTAAATATATACAGGCTATTTTGGCGCTAATCCAAGATACATATTGCATCCATCGGAATATTGCCTAGACTTTCAATTTAGTTCGTTTCTTGAGAATAGAAAATGATTGGAGGAACGGCGGGGTAGGATCGGATTAAAAATTGAAATTATATTTCATAATTCGTTAATATGCTTTCAATTTGTTAGATGCAAAATAGCTTCTCTACATTTTGAAAAGGAAGCAAACTGAAAGTCTTACCTTCAATGTACAAAATGGGTTTCGTTTCATAGGTACTTATTTGATTAGGAAACTTAAATTAAACTATTATTAACGGGATTCGGGGTAACATGATTCCATAATAACAGGAATTTCTCATGTCCTGGCTACGTCGAGCTAAAGTGCTAGTTGTTAATGAAACCCATTCTCTTCAAGTGTATATTAGTATATATATACCTATCTAAACATTACATGAATTAAAATGATTAATTTCACTATAAATGTCATCCTAAGACACATAAAAATATCCCTCACTGTATGTTGGGAGAGAGTGGCCTCTCTGGCAACCTTGGCATGACTGTCACTGGCGGGCGGCCGTTAATTGTCAGCGACTAAATCAACTTCCAAGATTTTTCTGAGCCTTGAATTACAGTTGTATTAAGTCAAGAAAATTATCAGAAATGAACGACTGCTAGACTAAACTGATACACGCGCATATCTTCAGCCTGAGCTTCAATACTCGGTACCTTAAAAAAATATAACTCAGTACTCACTATATAGTGAGTGACAGAGAGCGCATTTTCCCGTCGACGAAAGCGTGCAGTCACGGACGGACGGACGGATGGACTGACATGACGAGCACAATAGTGCCTTTTTTATCCATAAATGAGAAAATGTGCTAAAATATAACTCAGTACTCACAGCAGTGAGTGACAGAGAGCGCATTTTCTCGTCGACGAAAAGTTGAGGTCACGGACGGACGGACAGACGGACGGACAGACGGACATGGTGAGCACATTAGTGCCTTTTTTTCCATAAATGAGAAAATGTGCTAAAAAAAGAGGCTGAACTGGGAAAACCTTCTGCCGCTGAGCTGTGCAGCGGCTTAAAGAGTCGGTGTATTTTGAGACCGAAGGGCGGCGTCACGTGTAGGGGACGGCAGCGTCACGTGTAGGGGACGGCAGCGTCTCGTGTAGGGGACNCTATTCTATTCTATTCTATTCTATTCTATTCTATTCTATTCTATTCTATTCTATTCTATTCTATTCTATTCTATTCTATTCTATTCTATTCTATTCTATTCTATTCTATTCTATTCTATTCTATTCTATTCTATTCTATTCTATTCTATTCTATTCTATTCTATTCTATTCTATTCTATTCTATTCTATTCTATTCTATTCTATTCTATTCTATTCTATTCTATTCTATTCTATTCTATTCTATTCTATTCTATTCTATTCTATTCTATTCTATTCTATTCTATTCTATTCTATTCTATTCTATTCTATTCTATTCTATTCTATTCTATTCTATTCTATTCTATTCTATTCTATTCTATTCTAACTAATAAATTTACTTTCTTCTCCGCACAGGAGGATCTCAGTGAAGATCAGATCAGCGGTGAGTATTGCAGAAAATACAGGCGTAGTAGTATCGGCAGTTACAGGCTTATTTATTTACTTGAATTGAAATTTCTATTACTTCATTTACTTCTACTTCATTTATTGAAATTTCTATTAGTTCTCTGATTTTATCCTGCTAAATTATTAGGTTGCCAGTGCACAAAGATGATACGACAAGAGAATAAACTTTCATTGTTCTCAGCATAATTTTTTCAATCAATAATTCTCAGAATTCGTCTTCACTATACATTATGAGTTTTTGACACTAGGTTAAATAACTGCCTGTATAAATGCATAAGTTATAAATAAATAACTGGTTAAATAAATAACATTATAAGCTCAATGTAGTACTCATAGTATGCACTGTACAGCGCTGAGGAAGGCCTTCGACTCCTTCGACACGGAGAAGTCAGGCTGCATCACCGTCGAGACGGTGTCCACCATCCTGCGTATGATGGGGCTCAAGGTCACTGAGAAGGCCCTTAATGAGATTGTCGAGGAGGTCGACGAGGATGGTGAGTAGCAGAGCATGTATGATGGGTCTGAAGGTCACTGAGAAGGCCCTTAATGAGATTGTCGAGGAGGTCGACGAGGATGGTGAGTAGCAGAGCATGTATGATGGGCCTGAAGGTCACTGAGAAGGCCCTTAATGAGATTGTCGAGGAGGTCGACGAGGATGGTGAGTAGCAGAGCATGTATGATGGGTCTCAAGGTCACTGAGAAGGCCCTTAATGAGATTGTCGAGGAGGTCGGCAAAAATGGTGAGTAGCAGAGCATGTATGATGGGCCTCATTAGGAAATAATTCTGCGCATGAATATATATGAGGTCTTCGAGAAGGCCCTTAATGAGAGTGTCGAGGAGGTCGGCAATGATGGTGAGTAGGAGAAGTGCTCGGCCTGTGAGTATAGATGGTAAGAATTTGCCCTTATATGTGACCTAATGATTGCGATTGGATCTGTTAAGTAAAAGCAGTAGTACTTTTTACCATGTGTTCAGAAGTCAAAGAAAGTGCCCTAATTTGTGCAAAGTAGCGATTCGTATTTTCCATTATCGGAAGTCTGCTGGCGTTCTGGTAACGAAACTTGTCTGCTTGCGTTTTGGTACAAAATTTATCCGAAACTTGTTACGTGAAACACAATTGACTTACGCGAAACACAATTGAAAAGGCATTTTAACTATCAAATTACTGCAAATACAATAAGTATATCGAAAAATACTTTTAAAGTGCAGCTCTGCACTTCCTTGTTATAAATTTTGTTGACTGAAAACCCACCAGGTTCCGGCGAGCTTGAGTTCGAGGAGTTCTGTATCCTGTCAGCCAAGTTCCTGATTGAGGAGGACGAGGAATCCTTGAAGGAGGAGCTCAAGGAAGCCTTCAGGATATACGACAAAGAGGGTGAGAAACGGGGCAATCCTGCCTACATTCAAAAATTACTCCTTGCATTGCTATTTTCATTTATGTTCATTTAAATCACAATTGAATTCTTTGATCAATTATACATCCACACATAGCTGTACTCTACTCAATCACGGTCAGGTTCCCAATTTAAATCATATTCTTAGCTTCACATCATACACACTACAAAATTTCCCATCGAGTATAACTCGTTCAAAGCTCACATCAGCTTATATTCAAACCCTTTCATCGTTAATTTCATTTATATTCATTTAAATCACAATTGAATTCTTTGATCAATTATACATCCACACGATCACATGCACGATAGCTGTACCCTACTCAATCACGGTCAGGTTTCCAATTTAAATCATATTCTTAGCTTCACATCATACACACTATAAAATTTCCCATCGAGTATAACTCGTTCAAAGCTAACATCAGTTTGTATTTACACATTAAAAAATATAACTCAGTACTCACAGCAGTGAGTGACAGAGAGCGCATTTTCCGGTCGAAGAAAACTTGAGGTCACGGACAGACGGACGGACGGACGGACAGACAGACGGACATGGCGAGCACATTAGTGCATTTTTTCCATAAATGTGAAAATGCGCTAAAAATAGTCTCAAAGGATTGTTTTTGTTGGGCAGGAAATGGCTACATCACCACGCAGGTGCTCAAGGAGATCCTTAAGGAGCTGGACAACAGGCTCTCCGCCGAGGACATCGAGGGCATCGTGGATGAGGTCGATGAGGACGGTTCAGGAACCCTCGACTTCGATGGTGAGATTTTTCGCATGAATAAATTCTTATAAAAGTTTTCGCCTTTAATTTACTTAGTTTTATTTGATTTCTAAATAGAAATACCATCACTGATCGTTGCTTGTACAGTTGTTGCACAGGATGGACGGTTGAAAATGATTGGTTTGTTCCGCTTTCGTGTCGATAAATTTTTCGAACTGGTGAAATTTCCTTGCTATGTCCAAAAATGCTGCACATTCCAAAAATTTCGTAAAAGAGATGATTTTTTATCCCAAGGGTAGTGAACTGTGGTCAATCTAAACGAACCTTGCATGCTCCAAATTAAATAAAAAATAGACCAGCGAATGCTCGCCAAAATCAAAGGCATTAAAGCATAGAAGAAAGACATTAATGCGTAGAATTTTGTATTTGTTCCATTCGCATTACATAATTGTGCATGGCAGCATCTGTTACATTTGTATATTATTTGTTTGTAGTTCAGTCCAGTTTGTCGCTTAAAATCTTGATCCGTATCTAAAACGGCAACTATTGTTCTGTTTTGAATCGGTTCAAAGATTTGAATCATTTTCCCCCGCTCGTACTGAGAAAAATCAAGTCTCGTGCGTGTACGGAGCTCAGCACAAGAGAGCTGACACTTTTTTTCTTTTAAGTCAGTGGAATAAATTGAAATATTTTTGAATATTGAATGATATATCGCGGTGTTTTTTATCCTGCCGCACTTGTTTTGTTGCCCATTGCTCCCCGATTACAAAATGTGCAAACTATTTTTAATAATTACTTCTACCAAACTGAGCCACTTTGTTTGGAGAATGTTGTTGTTTTCCTTATTGTATATTCTGATACCTACCCCTTTTTTGGAGCCTTGCCAAATTGTTACAATTTTTGAAGGATATAATCCGAATTTTTTTCCGAATCCTTACGATCACGAGCTCCTTTAACTATGGCACACTGAAGACTCGTGCTTTTTTCTCTTCCAGAGTTCATGGAGATGATGACCGGATAAATTTTTTTGCATGGCCATGCCACTATATGGCCATGCCACTATATGGCCATGCCACCATCATTCACCTGTCGTCGAAGTCTACTCTGTTGCCACATTTCCGGTCTTGAAATCGCGCTATTTTTGAAAGACGCCAAGCTTTGTAATTTGGTTATCCTTTCATATTTCAACCCTTATCCATAGCAGTCTCATTAACTTACGCTACTCATCTTTGTCTACGTCAAAATTAGAACATTTTCCGAAGCTCATAAACTTGCTCTAGTCATCTTACTCTGCGTCAGCTATAGCAAATGTTATTCTTACCGGAATCGCATTTAGTTATAATTAATATTATTTTGTGTTGTCTCCATTACGGGCTGAAAACTCATTCCTTTTTGTTATGTTCGACTGCTGAAATATAGCGAGCATCCTTAGTTACTTCTCAGGATTCGATTATTAAAAAAATTGCCGGGTTAAGTTGATAAATAAATGCTAATTTTGAGTCATTTTTTCACTTTCTAATTTGCTATTTTCTTCGCTACTTTTGCGAGAATATCACGTAAATATCGAGCCTATCAAAAAGATATTATCTCTGATGATTAAGAAGAATAAATTATTCAACTTGGCTGTCCACCGTCGATAAATTAAATGATAATTTGTGTTTTGCTATATTTTCTGCCCTGAGATCCTATGAAATATATATAATTTAGAAAAATACAATAAAAGGAAAGGAATCTAGAATCTTCACGTGAAACAGGTAACGACATAGTCTAATTAGTGTATAGTATATATAGTGATGTGTGATGTCCGTATGTGTGATGTGCTTTCTATACTTTTTCTCCATCCTATAATCACATTGTTCCTGTTGCTATTGATGTGTCACCATTTTCATTACAATGTTTTTTCTTCCCGTTTATATTTACCGATTGCGATATTGCTGCAGTTAACCCTTTGATTATCAATTATATTTTTTGCTTCTTCTCCAGCTCTTTTTTTTCAGATACTTATAGAAATTTCCGAGTATTTCTTCTCCGACTAATTCTATTTCTATTGCTGTATTAATGACGGTGCCTTTGTGATTTCGCTACAGAATATCTTCTTTTCGTAATGCAATCTAAATATATCTTCTTGCATCGTTGTTAATTAGGACAAATTAATACATAAACGATTACACATCATATAACTCCTTTCTAAGTAGCCATTTTTTATGTTTTTAAACTTCTTCGTTTTTCATGATATATTACATTTTCGCTGTCTCAATGAGAGTCATAAAAAATGTCATTAATAAACAAATTAAGAGGGTAGACCTAAGTAGAGGGTCGTGAAAAGACAGATTTCCGGAGGAGGAATCACAAACAAAGTTCATGTGATAATAAAAAAATTGACTTTGGTGATGTTGAACGAGGAACTTTTAATTTTTCTTTCATTTTCTATTCTAATTGTCATGCTTTCGAGTCCGAGTTGATGTAATTATGATTTGAGCAGACATATAAAAATTTATTTGCTTATGAGTGAGCAAAGTTTTACTTGAATAGAAGTTTTCTTAATGTGCTGCTGCTAAATATTTTTGCTGCTCTGCGTGGGCTGCAGATAGAGACGATGCACAGAGTTGACAGTTGTTCTGTGTGTGCAGAGTTCATGGAGACGATGCACAGCTGTCTCTTATACACATCTAGATGTGTATAAGAGACAGCCGCAGTGTTCAGGGGATCGAGAGACGAGTTGGCCGCAGTGTTCAGAGGATCGAGAGACGAGTTGACCGCAGTGTTCAGAGGATCGAGAGACGAGTTGGACGCAGTGTTCAGAGGATCGAGAGACGAGTTGACCGCAGAGTTCAGAGGATCGAGAGACGAGTTGGCCGCAGTGTTCAGGGGATCGAGAGACGAGTTGACCGCAGTGCTCAGAGGAACGAGAGACGAGTTGGCCGCAGTGTTCAGAGGATCAAGAGACGAGTTGACCGCAGTGTTCAGAGGATCGAGAGACGAGTTGGCCGCAGTGCTCAGAGGATCGAGAGACGAGTTAGCCGCAGTGTTCAGAGGATCGAGAGACGAGTTGACCGCAGTGTTCAGAGGATCGAGAGACGAGTTGGACGCAGTGTTCAGGGGATCGAGAGACGAGTTGGTCGCAGTGTTCAGAGGATCGAGAGACGAGTTGACCGCAGTGTTCAGCGGATCGAGAGACGAGTTGGTCGCAGTGTTAGATGCACAGAGTTGACAGTTGTTCTGTGTGTGCAGAGTTCATGGAGACGATACACAGAGTTGACAGTTGTTCTGTGTGTGCAGAGTTCATGGAGATGATGGGCGGCTAAGCGACTCCTCTGATGCTGTCTCCACAACTTTTCAATTCCTGCGTCTTCATAAAAAAATTACACGCATGTCAATGTTTTTGGTAGTTATCAAGTATATTCTCAATTTTATTCTTCAAAATCAACGACCGTGGTCAACATAACTGAATTCATGCGACAGTTCCTCATCTCCCTTCAATGTCGTGAGTGGTAACGAACAATCTTAGTAAATTTTGCTCAACTTTAAAAGTTGTATTACAGAGACCATAATGCACCAATAATGATGTAAAATATATTTACTGCAGTCAAGATCTTCAGAAAAGAATCCTACTTAAGCTTTAAACTTTGTTACCAATGCACCACAATAAAATACTTCACAAAAAAGTTCATTATTTTCTGTCCTGTTGTAATCAAATTTTTAGGTCGTCAAGCAACTATAAATATGGAAAGTTGGAGTGTTGACGTCCGCAGAGCTCAGGTTGAATTAACATGGACAATATTTCCCCTGTTATGAACAAGCTATTGATTAAGAAGGAATTTGATCTCCAATTTTAAACTAAATAAGCATCAAGTCCATGGAGCCGAAGAGAATAGGTATATTTTTATTGGCCTGATTAGGAGGGAAGAGGAGGCATGGTTTTTGCAGATCAAAAAGTTTTACTCTAATTCTTGTACAATTTTCTTTATCACAGTAAAATTCTGATATAGTTCTGATGGAAAATCTGTAGACAACATTAATTGCACCAAAATACAAGCATTTAAGGGGATTAACTCTATTGAGGTGCATTCCTTTCAATAAATATAGTAAAATTCTATGTGAAGATTACATAAATTTTGGGTCCGAAATTCTTCACGAGCTTGTAGGACATGACGGAATGGTACGTAATTCGTTGGCGTGTAATTGAAAGATAAAACAATGAAGGGTTTTTCAATTAACCCTCCTTTGACAACTGTATTTCCAGCACGGTCATCAAAACCATTTGCCAATTTCATTAGAAAACTCAAAAAATATAACTCAGTACTCACTGCAGTGAGTGACAGAGAGATCATTTTCTCGTCGACGAAAACTTGAGGTCACGGACAGACGGACAGACAGACAGACAGACAGACGGACGGACAGACGGACAGACAGACAGACAGACAGACAGACAGACAGACGGACGGACATTGCGAGCACAATAGTGCAATTTTTTCCATAAATGAGAAAATGCGCTAAAAAGAGTAGCATTCTTCGCACTCGAAATCTTCTACAAATGATATATGTTCCAATTGAATAAAACTTTTCGATATTGTGTCACTTACGATGAACTACGACAGTGTTTAATCGACAATCGCCAAAATGGAGATTATTTATCATGGTTCTCGTCAAAATAAATGTATAATGGTTTCAGTAATATCTTCTTCGACTTTTTATTATTTTCCGATCAGCCACTAATCAGAGAACAGTTCTCGAAAATTGGTCTTAATCATGTAAGATATATCAATGATCAGCTAGTATGAAAACGACCGTTCTAATGCAGACTGCAGCTAGTTTAGATGAATAAGCTCATTTGTTTATTTTTATACTTTCTCCAGTCTTTTGTGATGATAAATATTCTGCTTGGCATTTTGTCTGAAATTTTGTGATCGAAAAGAGCTCTATCACTGAAATATATCGAGTTCCCCATTATATGTCAGTCATTGTAAGGCTCATTAGACAATGACATGTAAATGTACTTTGTCAATTGACATTTACTTGATCCAAATGGTTTTTCTTTACAGGCAACTTAAGTTGCAAATTCCTGTAATAAGAGAACTATTGATTAATTTGAAATATCTTGATGATTTATCAATATAAGAACCAACATTAATTAAGTGATATTAATCTCGAGATTGTAATCTGAGCGATATCTTTGCCCCGCAACATGTATATAGCCGCCCCACCGAGCGTTGCCATGGTTGGCAGATGTTTGGTCTCGTATTTTCGTTTATAGCGCCTCAAAGCGTGCTCCAAATCACTCTACTTTTGTCTACTTCTACCTGAATATGGGTGCAACATAACTAGATTGTTGCTATTGCTAATAAGAAAATATTGTGTAATTCATGTTGTCAGCAATTTTTCTACATTTAAGGAGCGTTTCAACTGAAGGTGTCATTTCAACTCAAGGTATTGTTCAATTCAAGGTATTATTGTTTAACTGAAAAATCTTTTCATCACACTAAACATTACATAAAATAGAATAAAGTTGTTATAATATCAAATTAAAACAACTATTCGCTCCTTTGTAGGGGAGATGTCACGGCAGAAATCGAAACAAAATTTAAAGCAATTGTCCGGTTAATTAGCTCATAATCATTTCTTACGCATCACATAGTGTACAAATCTTTTGAATAATTTGCACAATTTTTAAGACCGTTGTAGCGCCAAATAATATGCAATAGAAAAATCCGTGTAAATTCCAGAAATACGTTGAAACTAATTGCTTTATCTCTAACGGATTAATAATCAATGCATTTACAAGAAGGGCTCATCAATATATGAAGGTAATCTTATCATGAGTCATTCGTTGACAAATTTCATTCGTATATAAAATAAATATGAAATGAAGAATAATTAAGCAACAGAAATTATTTATAGAATTTAAGTCTTTATGAAAGAAGTATGGAAATCAGCTTCACGTGAGCCCATGCTTCGTACTAGGGTTCGTCTCTTCCTACATACTGCTGCTAGTGGCTTATGTCTCTTCCTACATGCTGCTGCTGGGGGCCTTTGTCTCTTCTTACATGCTGCCGCTTGGAACTCAAATTTCCTCTATGGGTTTTTTATTTCGTTGGCGACGATGAGTGCTTCGCATCATGATCTCTACAGCAAAGATGACGATGCTCAGTCCGATGCCGAGGAGCAGAAGGACGAAGAGGCTCGACACGTCGATGATGTCGATAACGACGAGGCTGTCGTCCTCACAAAACATTTCCTTGGCCAGCCACTTCTTGGCGAGCTTGTGCAGCAGGCCGAGCTCACGAAATTTCTGCAGGCTATGGCATAATATTAGTAAATATGGAAGAACAATGGTTAGTAATTCAATTAAGATAACTTGTTCATTAGACGATCATTGTGAGTTTTCTTGTTAATTGATTAAGATTGTTTTATATCGTGATTCTTGGAGATAATCTCTTGTAGAAAAACATCAAAATAGACAAGTGACGGCTGCATGGCCGGCATAAGTGCAGTGAAATTTTTCGTAAAGTTCATGTCAGTATTTATAAAAGTTTTAACACCACTTTATTCTCTACTCTCAGTACACACACTCAAGGGACGTCACGATATATACTGTGGACTGCACTTCAAATAACTGACTGGTATTACAAACACGTTGAATACATTTAATATTTTCTTCAATCTTAGAGAAGCGCTTGAATTAGGATTCGAGGAAGATTATACAGAGAGTCTAAGCTCTAAGGAGTACATTTTAATACCAAAATATCATATCAGGTTTACCTACCTTATCCTACTAGATATGTTAAAGAATTATCGAATACTAAAACAAAATGTTTCAGTTACGAATGTTAATTCTGGAAATTTCATTCTGCTGAAGCGCTAAACCTCAGTCTTGAACACGGTCTTGTCCCAAAAGATGTTAGGGAATTATATATCGAATGCCGACACAAAATTTTCACTTACAAAAAGTTAATTCGGGAATTATTTTTCATAATAGTTAAGAACACGGCTATGTCTAAAAAGATGTTAAGGAATTATATATGAAATACGAAATAAAATGTTTCAGTTACAAAAAGTTAATTCGGGAATAATTTTCCTTAGGAGTTAAGCTTCAGACTTGATCACAGTGACACCTGAGATCAAAGGAAGGCTGGAAGGGTGACCGGTGCTGTAGCCCAATAGCGATGCCGACTTGAAGGTAAGTGCCGGGCAGCGCCTTGATCTTGCAGGCCTGTGACGCTGGCAGCTGCCGCAAGAAGTACTGCGTGGTCACCCCCACGCCGATGAACACATACTGACCTGCGATAATAGTGATGAAATAATGTGATCATTATTAAAAATAAGCAATTAAACTGTGAAAAAGCCATTAAATTGTCGCTACTGATGTTTCTGCGTTGTCCCAGTGCTGTGTCTGCACTGATTACTTACCAGGTCAATCGGCAGTAAAAAAATTGGAGAAAAAAAATCGTGCCAATTGCAGCTCATTGTTGTTGCAAATGATCATAGAGAAATAAAAAATCATGTATTTCATATGAGATGCCGCCTTGTGTACCACAGGCGCGAGGTGCTTCACGAGCCCTCAACACTAGCGAGTTACCCTCAACACTGCATGGCGAGTTACCCTCAACACTGGTGAGTTACCCTCAACACTAGCGAGTTACCCTCAACACGGAGGTATCGCATCCAGATTCAGCGAGGGTTAAACTCGCTGGGCTGTTGGTGCTGAGGAATTCTTCTGCGCTATTTTATGCCCAGACAGACAGGCAGAACCTAGCTCATGGCAGAACTAGGACTAGGACTGCTCGCTCACCCTAATGAGATTTGTAACCTAGAATCGAATTCAATTCTCGTTCCTGAAGCCACTACGTTATGTGTCTTACTGATATCGATTACAGGAGATAAGACGGTGGAATTGATCAACAAATGTTCATATTGACCATTGATTTGCAATATCAGTGAGCCCTGAATAATATAAAATATTTGTCACCCTTGAGCGTTTACAAATTTGAACATTTTCTTATGTTTTATTTATATGCCATTGGCAACATTTCCCCTTCTACGTTCAACTAGCCCAACATTATAAAAATTCGTGAACAGCACAGGAGAATTTTTACCTTGGAGAGCCTTGTGTAGTCCGTCTGTGTAATTGGCCGCGAGGTTGCTCGAGTCCTTCGCAATATTATTAATCCAAACGTCGTGAAAAATTTGGCAATTGGGGCTGCGAGGTTCAGGAGTGCAGGTATTCTGTCGAGTAACCAAATGTTCGTAAGTTGCTGCAGCGGTCGTAACTTCTGCTCTGTTTCTAAGATTTGAAGTTTTATGTTTAAAGTTAGACGGGATTGACAGTTAAGTGATTAATTATTGAATCATAGAGAATTGAACAGCAAAGTCTCAGAGATGTAATAATATCAACACAATTACATTCGAAGGGTTCAAGTTATATAATAGAATAAAATAGAATAGAAGTGTCGGCGTTGAAGAAATAGGCCCATGGCCTGTTGCGATTCTTGAACTTTTCGTGACTTGATTCACAAGGGATCCGGCCTTTGGAACCCGATCTTTCAGACATGACAATCATCGAGCAAAGGACACACAAGTACACTGGGGGTTCCATGGGGCGAAAATACGTCAGAACTTTCTTCTGGGTGTCCTCGACCGGCGCCACGAAGAGCTTGTAACTGAAAAGTGCCAGTGGATGCAGGACGTACGTTATTCCTCGGTCAAGTGATCACACATCACGTAGAAATTGAACTAGACGGTTCGATAGAATAAAGCAGTTAATCTATTACTATTTGCTATCACTGCTCCCCATAAGGCTAGTAGTCATAGTGCGGCGAAGTCTGAGAGCGAGGTATTCGTGACCATGCAAGTTGTAATGTCTCAGCTATGTCCATAGATCGGGCAGTTGCTATTCTCGAGCGTTTAGACTTAGTAAAGTGATTTCTGTTCCAGCAAGAATTTTAAGGCAACCAACGCATTTTAGGTGGACGAGGAATTGTCGGTGGTTGGCTAGAGGTAATTGGCTAAGGTCGAGTACTGGCCAGCTCTTTTCTCGTATAGATGCCCAACAACGAGCACCATCGTGCGGCTAACAAGTTATCCACGAAGTTATCTACGAGTTATCTGTATCCTCTCATTCAATCTACTGCGCCGTCATCAAAAGAGTTGGTTTTCAGAATTTTGTCTCCATGCACCTATGAGTCGGCTCGTTTTCCAAAACTAACATTAGGTGACAAAGATCCGTGCTGGAACAGATATAACCTCACAAAGACTACAAGCTCAAGAGCAGCAACTTCCCGATCCGAGGGCATAGCAAAGATCTCACACCGTGGACGCGTATGCAACGATCTCAAACCTCGCCGCACTGTAAAACAGAGTCTTCATATGCTCAAGTTAAGCATTGTCATACAGCATCTGCTGGCCTTATATATCCCATCTTAACCACTTCAGGCCTAACCTACTCAAGATTAGACATTTCTCAACCAAAACAAACCTGAGCGGACCTAACCTAGTCTCATTGGCTGCAGGAAGTTAGAGAGGAGGGGCAAGTGAGCAGGATGAGTCCGTCATTGGCTGCATGAAGGTTGTGAGTTGGGGTAGCAGGAATAGTTTAGGCAACGGGAGGCAAGACCAGAGAAGCGGAGGCTGGATGTAAAACGGGCTTCATATGATTGAGCTCAAAGCCTGTAGTATTGGCTAATGACCTACGATGATATTAACTTTAAACCGTGAGTGTGTCACTGGTCTGGATTGCAATGTTCCAGCTTAGTCTGCGACTTTTAGCTTTTGTGTGGTTTCTGCATGCTGAGGCTAGGCGTTGGCTCCAAGTCTTAGCTAACAGGTAAATTTGTGGCCTACGCTTCGCTTCACTCCCCAGTTAATACAAAATTCCCTATTTAAAACACGGATTAGCATAGCACATTATCCCTATTTAAACGATTAAAACTGATTGATACACGAATTATCACAATTTCACCTTGCAACCCAGAATATCTAAGGTTTGCCCCACGATGATGATTGCAGATTCACCTGATAATCCTGATTTGCTGTGTATATGTTACGACTCTGGCGCGCTCGGCCGTGATGGAGAGCTCGGACACGGTGAGGTCGGCCCTGTTGTTCTGCAGCTCCCCCACCATGCCGTCCCAGTTGTTGGCGCCGTATCGCACTCACGAGAAGTTGTGGGTGTTCTTCAGCGTGGTAACGATGTCACCCACGAACCCCGACACTCCCCCGTCAGGTAAATAAGTCGTGAAGAAATCAAAAACCTGAAGCAGGAAATGTGCTTTGTTTTGATCTGTATTATATTACATCTTGGTACTCCATGAAGCCAAGGTTTTTTGCCTTCAATTAATGCTCACATGATGAGATAAATTGTTATTCACGCTGAGTATGTCAATTACTATATATGCAGGGATTTCCCTACAGGATAACAGAACGCTCAGAAATTACGGAAATAACTACACTGCTTCAACTTCTATTGATTTCCAAAATTCAATTACTCACATTGCACCCAACACCAAGCATTGGATATCCCTTGAAGTCTTGCCGCCGTTTAATTTTATCTTCAAGAAAATTATATTTCATGAATCCTTCTCTGGCGGTCCACGTTCCTCCTTCCTCAACCTGAACCTCGGACACCCGAGGCCCGATCCTGTAGGCGCTTAGCACCTGAAGGGCAAAGGCCCGAGAGTAGTTTGTGGACACCAATCCTTATGTTTTTACCAGCAGACCTAGTAAGCTTTGAGTCCACTGTGTCAGTGAAAGCTTGCTTCAGTCGATAGTTATACAGCATATGTGCCACGAGGCCAAAAACCCCTTGATCGGATGTACGAAATTCTTCTACTCAGCGTACCTCTGCTGCTAAGTTCTCCCGTGTAACATTAGTTAGAGTTACTCCGACCTAATGTTCGACGTCTTAGCCTATACTCGTAATGTATCTCTAGTGTATAACCACCCAGCATAAATAAAATTTATATAAAGAGAAGTGTCGTACTTATCCCTCTTTCACATAGTCAACGGACCTCCTTCCTCAGGTAGAAATTATTATAAACAGTCAGGTGGCGCCTAATCTTGCCGCCTGACACGAGCAGGGGACGCTTACATACGGCGGTAAGTTAAGCAACGGTTTCAAGCTCTTCGCTTACATACGGCGGTAAGTTAAGTTAACTTACATACGGCGGTAAGTTAAGCAACGGTTTCAAGCTCTTAAGTTAACTTACATACGGCGGTAAGTTAAGCAACGGTTTCAAGCTCTTCGCAATGTGGCTAACGGGTTTTACTTAATTCATTCTACGCTTAATCCTTATTTGGGGGATGCGTTAGGTTATTTTCCTCACATGCACGGAGCAGTGATTGTAGCCCAGTAAGTAAACCTCGGAGGGGATGTAAGCCTCCAGCCCCCCAGCAAACTGGGCCAAGTCCAGCACTGAGCTGGGCTCTGCAATCACAGCCCAGGAGGTGTAGCTCAGAGCGTTCTGGGCGCTGGCCTGATCCAGAGATGAGACGGAAAAATGAATTCATATTTTAACTTTTAATTACCGTCAATTTTCAAGCTTTGGATAACATCAAATACCGCAGGCTGAGCACAGAAAAGGACCAATGAAAATTTAAATTTTATCACATTTTAAATAAAAATTCCTGCGATATTTGACAATTATCAGGCATCATTAATAACAAATTGAAAGAAGGAAAATATTTCGTTTGCTGTTTAATGCCCGAAACAAATGATCGCTTCAAAACCTTGCACGCATCAAACAGTAGCCAAAGAGGACCTCCTGCATGAGGTGTCGGGAGGCGTTGGTGTCAGCGAGCAGAAAGTTGCGGCGGCCGCTGACGTCAGGCGGGTAGAGCTGCGTCAGCACCCGGTCGCTGCTCACCAGGGTTGCCCGCCACCCGCGCCCCCACAGCAGCCGCAACAGCCCACCGCGGGGGCCTCGCAGACAGTCGGGGCTCAGGACGCCTTCTGGTGGGGGAAGTGGTGGACTTTTGGCGTTAAAATGTGGGAATTTGAAAGTGGTTTCCTGGCAAATTTCATTCGAAATATTGGTGATAAAAATACGGAATATTTAAAGAGATTGACAGCAATATGCGAAAGTAAATATGTGTTGATGATAACGAGGGAAAATGTAACTTATTGACGCGTGGTCACTCAGTAAATATTCCCGATTCAATTGCCGAATATTGAAGAAAGTTTCCTCGGTTAACATATTCAAATAAAAACATTAATAAAGTAGCGGATTGATTTGTTGAGTGATAAGTGCAAAGCAAAGGGACGGATTCTACAGTCTAAAAAATTTAGTGGAAGAAGATGGGTGCCGAGGTTCAATGAACTCACACAAGCGACGATATTATGCTCGCTAAGCAATGATTTTTTGTGAAAAGAAAGAACTGGTGTTATCAATGATTAAGGGAGAGGCTTACGCTCTAGCGTATGCGACACAATAAAGATGGAGTCCCATTCATGCGCCGCCATGAAGTCCAGCACGAATCTCGCGACACACTCGCAGTCGGAGAGAACGCCATCAACCGCTGGACGCTCCTGAGTTAGGACTGCAGTTGTCACCCTGCTGCGCAAATCATCGCGGTTGGTAGCTCCATTACGACTCAACGAAGAGAAATCGTGTGAGTTGTTCGTGTGAGAACCAAAACTTGGAGAACTGTCGATTTCGCCAGTGTTCAGGGGATCGAGAGACGAGTTGGCCGCAGTGTTCAGGGGTTCGAGAGACGAGTTGGCCACAGTGTTCAGGGGTTCGAGAGACGAGTTGGCCGCAGTGTTCAGCGGATCGAGAGACGAGTTGGCCGCAGTGTTCAGCGGATCGAGAGACGAGTTGGCCGCAGTGTTCAGAGGATCGAGAGACGAGTTGGCCGCAGTGTTCAGAGGATCGAGAGACGAGTTGGCCGCAGTGTTGTGAAGATATTGAGGCGAGTTGGCGGCAGACCTCACAGGTTTGAGAGACGATTTGGCTGCTGTCATCAATGACTTAAACAATTCCTTGGGCTCCACATCTTTGGTTACAACCACAATGAAAAGAACGAACGTTTGGAACTGTGATGGCTTCATCATTCAGTTTTTGCTGAGTCACTTGAATATTACCGCAAGATAGAACATAATAATATTTTTATCATGTTCAGTCTCTTTTCTGAAATGGCGAATGATGTTCAAAATATTGGCAGATAATTTAATTCTAATGATTTTTAGATGCAGTAATGAAGTGGAACGTTAATAGATATTATCTATGTTTTATTGAAAGAACTGGCGACTCCTCTTTTCCTTAATGGAGATATGTGTGAAATGGGTCTATAATATTATATAAAACAGTAAAACAGTATTATATATAAAACAGTAAAATTTAATTTTTTTTATGTCTAATGTGCAGTTGCAGTGACTGTTATGGTAACGCAAAAAATAATGACAATGTAATTAATACAAATATAAAATTAATAAAAAACAATGAAACAGCATAATTTTTCCTCCAGGCATTTAATCATCATAGTTAACTGCACTCAAAAGCATAAGCATTACTCGAAGGTTGCCCCAAAAGTATGCGGAACCTGCCACTGTGGCACCTGCCTCTGTGGCACCTGCCTCTGAGGCACCTGCCTCTGAGGCACCTGCCTCTGAGGCACCTGCCTCCGCCTAACAGCCTACCAGCACAATGACAGCGATTCCAGCACAGTTCCTCTGTACTGGCACTCACGGCGCTCTCATTGGTCCAGTTTTATCTTATAATCAGTACGTGGGCAATACGCTGACTTCCTGGCTCTAGGTTTAGAGTTTAATGATTCAGGAAGATTTTTGAAGAAACACGTGCATTTTTCCCTAAACAATTATTGCGTGGCGTTAGAGTTGGAGTTGTAGCGTTAGAGCTATCAGGCACAACATGGCAGTTATAGCGTTAGAGCTATCAGGCACAACATGGCAGTTATAGCGTTAGAGCTGTCAAGTACAGCATGGCAGTTGTAGCGTTAGAGCTGTCAAGTGCAGCATGGGAGTTATAGCGTTAGAGCTGTCAAGTACAGCCTGGGAGTTACAGCGTTAGAGCTGTCAAGTGCAGCCTGGGAGTTGTAGCGTTAGAGCTGTCAAGTGCAGCCTGGGAGTTACAGCGTTAGAGCTGTCAAGTGCAGCCTGGGAGTTACAGCGTTAGAGCTGCCAAGTACAGCCTGAAAGTTACAGCGTTAGAGCTGTCAAGTAAAGCATGGGAGTTAGAGCGTTAGATCTATCACGTAAAGCATGGGAGTTATAGCGTTAGACCTAGCACAATGTGAAAGGTGAACACCTAAATTATTCAGACTGTAGCTTCAAAGCATTCATCGTTTGTAGTGTAAAATACTGGCATGCAACCTGTGCTTCTTAATAACGAATGTCTTGTAATTTGGCTTGATGATTGCTACTTATTCCTTGGGTAAGCTAATCAAGTTGTTGAATATTCCGCAATTGCGAGACTGTAAACAGACTTTCAAGCAACGTCTCATTTTAAGTTGTTAGCGATCTTTCAAAATTTAATCAAAAGGGCACGCAACGAAATGATTAATTTGCTCATCTATGTCACGAGTGGAGTGACGCACTTCTCAAGACGAAAATTTATGAAAGAATTTTTATTTTACAGGAAAATTTAATGTGTAGCCATAACTCGTTCTAGATTTTGCAGTACAGATTTATTCTAAATGATGGACCCAATTTAATAAATTCGTATTCATTTATGTATAAATTCAAAATGAATCATTTAAACACAAATGAAAAAATATTCAATTTTTGTAACCTATTCAAGCGCGGAATCACATTTCGAGAGTTGGGTAGGACACATGTTTACGTCAAGACACTCTGTTTACGTCCTGCCTCTACTAGCAACTCTGTTTACGTCCCGCCTCTACCAGCAACTCTGTTTACGTCCCGCCTCTACCAGCAACTCTGTTTACGTCCCGCCTCTACCAGCAACTCTGTTTACGTCCCGCCTCTACCAGCAACTCTGGTTGATCTAAAGAACCGTATCACTGCTACGGTGCACTCAGTAACAGAAGATATGTTTTCTCGTGTGTGGGACGAGTTTGGCTACCGTTTAGATGTTTGCCGTGCAGCACAAGGGGATATATTACCAAATTTTCTGTTATAAAACAGATGATAAAATTATGGTTGAAA